GGTTTAGGAGGGGTAGGTCGTGTTTGACCAACCTGGTCTCCTTTCATGGCCAGGTGACCTCCTGATGGATGCAGGAAAGGCTGTGGATGTGTCTGTTCGGCTCCAGCAAGGCCTTTGGCAGTGTCTCCCACAGCTCCCTCCTGGAAAAGCTGCAGCCCAGGGCTGGGGCAGGAGCACTCTGTGCTGGGCTCAGAGCTGGCTGGACGGCCCAGAGAGTGGTGGGGATGGTGCTGCATCCAGCTGGGGCCAGGCACCAGGGGTGTCCCTCAGGGCTCTGTGCTGGGGCCAGCTCTGATCAATGTTCTTATTGATGACATGGACGAGGGGACTGAGCCTTTCACCAGTAAATCTGAGATGACACTGAGCTGGGAGCTGTGTCCATCTGTTGGAGGGTAGGAGGGCTCTGCAGGGAGACCTGGAACGGTTGGATGGATGGGCAGAGTCCATAAGATGAAGTTTAATAAATCCAAGTGCCCAGTGCTGCATTTTGGGCACAGTAACCCTGCAATGCTCTGGGCTGGGGACGGTGTGGCTGGACAGTGCCCAGGCAGAAAGGGACCTGGGGGCACTGAGGGACAGCAGGCTGCACATGAGCCAGCAGAGGGCCCAGGGGGCCAAGAAAGCCAATGGCTCCTGGCCTGGGTCAGGAATGGTGTGGCCAGCAGGAGCAGGGAGGGCATTCTGCCCCTGCACTGGCGCTGCTGAGGGCACACCCTGAGTGCTGTGCCCAGCTCTGGGCCCTCAGTTTGGGATAAGGATGATTTGGTTGATAAGGTGGTGTCAGGTCGCAGCTTGGGACTTGATGATCTCCAGGGTCTTTCCCAACCTGATTGATTCTGTGATTCTGTGAAATGTCCCAACCTTTTTTTCCTTATGTGGAATAATTTAGACTCTTTATGGAGAATGCTAATTTATAACCAATGATCGTTTACCCTATGTAGTTAATCAGGATCAGTCTTTGTTACTTTTTATTAATAAGATGGCCATTTGAATGTAAAACAAGTCAATTATTTAGGATTAAGCCCCCTTTCAACTGCATTGAAGGAATACTGAGTTTCTCAGATTTGCACAGAAAAGCCTGGAAAGTAAAACTATACTTTTACAATACTGGATTGTAGCTTTTTAAATCTGAAACATTAGACATCTATGATGAATTTTTCTGGGTTTGTATTACAGTCAGTACTGGTAATTTACTTTATTTTCTTCCAGTTATTAAACTGTTCTTATTTCAATCCACGGAGTTTTGTTTCCTCTGTTCCTCCCTGGTACCCACATGGTACCCAGCTGCCAGCTGGGATTAAACCATGAGAGCAAAAATGACATTTCATACACTGCCTGTGCTATTTCAGGATCTCCTGTAGGCAAATGAAAAACAAAGTAAAAAAAAAAATAAATCAAAGCACTTCTCATCTTTCATTAGAAACTTTATTGTATTAACCTACAGGGATGTGAAGTGAAGTGAAATATATGGTAGTGAAAGGGAGAATGATGAACATCAGTCATCTTTGGAAAATATATATATGTTTTCACAACAAAACACTTTTTTTGTTACAACTAAGAAAAAAGAAAGCCAGGCATACTTGATAGGTTTTCTTTAAAAATACAATACAGTTCAATCATATCAAAGTGAAGTGTTGTGGGCTAAAAAACAGCAAAGTTATGTTCAGTGCTCTAGCACTAGCATGAGTGTATCAAATAACATGATTTTCTCTATAGTAATTGATAAACATACACTCATTTCAGTAATTTCAGATACTGTATATACAATCTTTCATATAAAGCATTTTTTGTCAAAACTAGCTCTGTGATGTTCAGTCTGGACTTTGGAGCTTCGGTGTAAGAATTACTATTTGGACACATATTGGATAAAAAACTGCTGTTAGTTTACTTGAAAATCCAAGATATTTAGAGTAACACATTCCTTGCTTTTGATTTTATCCTAACTTCACTTCAGTATGAACGTGCAGATTGTCTCAGCAGAAAGTGTGAGCACTTTCAATGAAATCTTCCTTCCTGTAATCTGCAGGTGCATCTCCAATTAAAGTTAATGGAAGTTCTCTGGGTAGATCAAGATAAGGACAGATTATATGTGTAACAGTGTGTTGTGATTAAAATCTTGGACATAGCAGAAAGCTGTGGGGTTTGTTATGCTTCTAAGTGGTCTGAATTAATAATGCCTACAGTATTTAAATCCTAAAGTTTATACTCACTACTTTAAAGACAGCTATTGACTTGGTGTAGCTTTTTACTGAAATGGTGACACGTTGCTAGGGGAGAGCTACCTCCATTTTCAATGCTACGTTTTGTCCCTACTGAAATGTGAACATACAGAGAGGCAAGGCATCCCTCTCCATTCCTGTCTGTGGTGAAGTGAAGCCACTTCTCTGAGTGCTGCCTAAAGCTGCTCCATCCCCTGGGCCCTTCAGCCCCCTCCACCCTACAGAATGCACCTCCAGAAATGTCTGGGTTGTGGGAGGACCTCAGGGGGATCTACACCAGAGCTCTCTGGATTTTCACCAGGGTTCTGCTGGGGGCCTCTGGAGCTGAGAGCAGAGAGCACTCCAGGAAATAAATCAGTGTTCTGAGCACCTCACCAGGCATCATCCTCTGAAGTAAATTCACCAGCCATCTGCTGGTTTATGCAGACATTGCTGCTGCTGGCTACACGGCAGGAGTTGCACCCACATGCAGGAAGGCAGACCTCAGTCATGTGCACATTTAGAACACACACAATGAGCAAAATCGCAGTAAACTCATCTACTTTCATTAATATTTGACTGAGTATTTTACTTGAGGATATGCGACGTGTTGGAAATTTAAAAAAACCTCCCAACATTGATTCAGCTCTTCCCTTTTCCGTGTGAAAAGAATTGTTTATATGATGAAGATAGTTTACCTAGTGGTCTTCAAAAAGAGCAAGAAGTTTCTGTGAACTCCCAGTTGCTAAATGCAGTATTTTCTATTCGTGGCTTTAGAGAAGACAGGTTTTATTTTAAAGTCTGTTTCACACAATACAAAATAGAAAGTATATACCAGTAGCTAGTATCTAGATGCATACAAAGCCAATCAATACTTCATTTTAGACAGGGATTAAATGGCAAGGAGCCTTAAAAATCTCCTAGCTAATATCTGTACTTTCCAAATCCAAAGGTAATGGAAATCTTTATTCCAAGGATGTACCAGGAATGCCCAGGGAACTGCAGAACAGCCAGGATCCTTCTCCCCATCCATCAGTGACACAGCAGCCCTCAGTGCTGCAGAGGCACTGCCAGGTCACATTAAATGCTGGCACCTCACTCTTAGCTTCCTAAAAATATCTTTTCTCTGGGAGAGGATATCTCACCTATAACAACCATGCAATCTTCAGGTTGATGTGTTTGGGGAAAATTCTGTCCAATGGACAGATCCCTTCCTGAATTTAATTTCCACCGAACTGTGCAGCTCATAATAGATTATTTTGGAAGGACTGAAAGGCTTTTATGGGAAAAGGGGCTGTTTTGGGAAGATGATCTCCATCCACACGATCAGCAGAAGAAGCTAAACTTCAAGGAGGAACTGGTTTTTACTTTATTTCTGAGTTCCTGTTGTCATTCTCAACAAAAAACACCTTGATTTTCTTCCCCCGAATGAATGAATCAGTCTGAACTGTTGGGTATTTTTTAATCACCCTGATTGACATCACTGTGAATTCTTACTTTGATCCTCTTGCCCTGCCCAGAGGTCCCTTGAACCGGACAAACAAAAGGCCAGTTGGCAAAAATGCATAAGAAATGGACACACACACACTAGAATATTTTTTTTTTCAGTTACAAGCTAGCTCACTAAAAACACAGACACACAGCGTAAAAATGGAGAGAGAGAAGTTAATGAAGGTGAGGGGGGTACATGTGTCACATTATTAGCAATGCAAAAGACCAGCTTAAGCATGTGTTTCCCTACATCAACTATAAAAAAAGAAAAGGTGCCTTTTTAGCAAGTATGCACAGAGTTTGCTTAGTTATTTCGAAGAAAAAAAAAGAACACTTGACTATCTTTATCCTATATTACAGTAAGTATTACTACCTTTTATAAAATGTAAACCCTTCCTTATAGTTAAGATTTACAGAAGTCATCACCTTTGTCCACTCCTTATGTAATCAGTCTGTGGTGACAAAAATAAACTGATTCAATTTACATATTTTTTGAAGTAATAACTGATATGTTTTGGATTATTAGTTTGTGTGTGGCAGAAACAGTGGTCATAACTGCAATGCATGAAGCTGAACTGTAGCAAAATACTTGTTGAAGACTGGTGCTGGGTCTACAGTGCTAAGAGATCTTGAAGCATCATGTAAATATTGATGTATGCAATCATTTTATCTCCAGAACTATTCAAGCCAAGATACATCCACCACCTGCAATGGACAGCAAAGCTTGATGGTGGATTTCCCAAACAACTGCAACACTGTGCTTTCCTTATCCCCATCAGATCTTGTTTCTTGTAATATGTCTTGACTAAATATAAGAATGGAAGGTAAAGTTTGGCAAGGCAGTTTTCCTTCTACTAGTGAGTAACTGGTGAATCAGATCACCTGTACAAAGTGGTATTTGGTAAATTGCACTGTCCTGGGAGTATTACTACTCTGGAACGTGACAGACATGAAGCCTATATTTGAAGTTGCTAAAATGTGATGTTATCAATACTAATCTGCAAACTACTATTTTTTTTTAAGCCAGTATACTACAGTATAAATGTGCTGCATACCTGTTTCTATAAAATTTACTGCCATGAAAAAGAGAAAAAGAAGAAGAATCAGGATCCCCAGAGTGTGGCATTTGTCCATCTGTCACTTGTATACACAATACAGACCTCGTGCTGAGATTCTGCTTAAGGTACAGCAATTATCTGCAGGACAGATCAGGAGCCGAGAGCGATGGTAAACGAGAGAGGAAGGAGCACGACCGTGCCACTCTGCCCCTTGAGAGAGTCCCAGGGCTGCAGGAATCGGCTCCTTGCGGGGTCATTTGCTGCTGACCCCCTCTGTGGAGGGCGTGGGGCTCTCTCTGACGGGGAGCAGGTCGTAGTGGCAGGGAATGTGGCTGTTTTTTGGCAGGTCGTAGGGATCCTGGCCGAGGCGCCCGCCGCCGAACGCGCCCTGGACGATGCTCACCGTGGGCTCTGTGAGGAGAGAGAGCATGCACTCAACCCCGGGGAAAACACTGAGATTTTATTTCAGTTTCTGCTTCAGCAGGAAGGTTCCTCATCTTGCTGAGTCCTGAAATGCAGCTGTAGAAACACAGGTTGGTGTTTTTGCCTCATGCTTGCAGCAGGGCGCTGCCATGAGTTTACTGACAGAAACAAGACAGCATCTCTTCTTTATGTGCTTTTAATTTCAGCAAATTAAAAAAAACCCAAACCAAACAACAACCTGAATTTGAAGGTTTCAATCAAGAACTTTGTAACAGTCCTTAAAAGCAGAATGGGTATGTTGATGGATTTCAGTGATCTCTAATTGCATGCAGAAAAGGAAAATACATCCCGTGACACAGGACACAATTTATTACAGCCCAGAGATGATCAGGACAGCTACCACTCCACAGGACCCCAAAGTTCTCTGTAATTAGAGAAATATAGCTAGGTAGGGCCCATATTAGTGGAGTACTGTGTCTGTGGGTGAAGATGCTATTTTATTCTGATCAAGAGAAGGAAACAGAACTTCAACCCTCCCATGGATAATTCTTCAGTCTAACCTAGAGCTGAACTACATTGCAATCAAATGCTGAACTTACGCTGTTGGTTAAAGGAAAGCTTTCACACCAGAGTAATTCAGAGGCACCTGTAGGTGACAGAACAGAGCTGAAGGTACTTCACACCCTGTTTGTGTGAATTACACCCAATAAGTAAAAACACTTTTTTACAGCTTTTGGGCAGAACACGGAATCTGAACGCGTAGCTTTGTTCTCCCGGCGGTTTTCACGCGTTTCGATGAAACTGAATCCAAGATTAAAAAAGCCCTCTGTGCTCTTTGCTCCTGACCCCCAGCATCCAGAGGTGGATTTTGTACCTACCAACTTCGTAGACGTTCCTGCTGGCTGTGGCAGAGCCGGGGATCTCGGCGTAGGGGGAGTCGCGGCGCGCCGGGGACTTCATCTCCACGTAGCCACATTCCGAACTCTTTGGCACCAGAACTGGTGGGTCCTTGATGGTAGCATAGGGGTTCTCAGAGCTGCTCAGTGAGCAGTTACTTAGGTTGTACTCCGAGTTCTTCACCAGGTCTGCAAAGAGAAAAACATGTTACTGTCTCGGGCATGCTGTGTGCCATGGACATGGCTACCAAAAAAAAAGAGGGTTTTTGTTTCATGCTGAGTTCTAAAAAGTGACTCAGAAGTGAATATTTAAATGGAAACCAGTTGTAATGCCTCAAAATCATCTGCAACAATCAATGAGAACTTCTCAGCTGCTATGCCCTTTAATAGACTTCATTTTTGCCACCAGCAAATTACTGTTGCAAAATCCGAGCATCTTCAATTCTGGTTAAAATAGTGCCTGGCATTATACAGAGATAAGCTGAAGAATCAGTTCTTAACAAGCACTTCAGAACAGTTCCTGCCCCTCCAGGTGCTGAACTCAGGACACTTAAAATCTGAGACTGTTCCCAAGAGCAATGTCTGGGTGAATATTCATGATTTATTTATAGGGATGGCTTGGGTGGCGCAAAGTTTGGGTATCTGAGTACACAAAAAGAATAACCAGCTTCTTCTAAGTTTCTGTAAAGCACATACAGGAAAACTGGCAAAGAAACATCAGGTGGCTTGTGATGTCAGGATTAGACTGAAGGATGAATAACTGGTTTCAGAGATGCATTTGCTTGTGCTGGGAAGCAATTTTGTGGTGTTTGTGTTGCTTTGTGTTATGTTATTTAACATGAGACTTCTTCTTAGCTCATTCCTGACTCCATATCCAACATGAGACTGACCTGGTGGACCTGTCAGTGGATGGGTGCTCATGATTGTTGTGACTATTTTGAACTGGGCTTTCTGTAAGCACAGAAGAGTAGAATTGTTTAGGTAATAAAAAACCTTTAAAATCATTGAGTCCAGCCATTTCTGCAACACTGCCAAATCCATCCCTTAACCACATTCCTAAGTGCCCAATGCCAGCAGGGTGGTACAATGTAAAGTCTTGTGAGAAAAGTGGGTAATTCAGAAGATCAAGATACCAGATCGCTACCCTGAATTTCGGAAGCTTTTCACTCCTGTCTGTATTTTGATATCCTTTCCAGGGGCCTGCAGTGGATGTGGTGAAGGTTTGTGGTCATGCAGACCAGGACCAGCTGGAATTGCCTTTTAAAGCCTTTCAGCAGAGGCAGCATGTGTTCTGCTGTCTAGAATTGAGCTGTGCTCTGACTTAAGAATGACAAAAACCATTTGATCTGTGTCACACACAGGGGACTTGAAATGGCTTGGTTTGTGGTTTTGTTGGTTAAAAAAAAAAAAAATAATCCAACAACCTCCCTTCAAAAAAGATAAAAAACCCCACATCAGCAAACAAACCAATCATGCATTGATTCAGTGTCAAGGAAAAATTTAGTTCTAGAATGATATATTAATATTTTCTTCACCTATAAACCAAAGGTAATTTGGAAGAATAAAAGGCATGTCAATGTAGTTCCATCTAAATACATCAGAAAACAACCTCACCTTTCAGGGACTTCCCCACATATCCCCTATCAAGTCCAAATGCACCTGAGGAGAAAATGATACCAAAAAGAACAGAGTAGTTTTAAAATCAAAGACAACAAAAGTGATTAGACAACAGCTTGTGAATGTTTAAGAATTGCCTTGGGACTCATTTCTGCCCTAGCTGAATAATTCTCTCATAAGGGCTGTGGAACTGCCCAGGATGGGGGTACAGAAGCACTTGTGCTATTTGCTTCCATATTTTCCAACAGGAACAGGGGAGGTGGGTCATAAGGGACCATTAAATGATCTGAATTTATCTGAAGTTTGACCTCACATAACACCAGTTACTCATCTTGCTCCAGTTCTCATTCCTCTGCTTCCAAATTTAATCACTCCCAAATCAGCCTGTTCCAGCCCCAGTGGCCTGAACACCTTGCACCTGAATCTACAGCTCTGCAATTACCTGTTACTCTCTGATTTCCCTCAATTAAAGTAAACAGCTGAGCACAACAGCTGTCTTCAGAGACCTGGCACTTTCCTGCTTACTGATCTATTCAAACAGCTTTCATTGATACTGTGGAGAGCTCATTTTTAATTAGGCTGTATTGTGGTACTATGCTGGAAGCATTATAAAAGCCTAAAATGGTTTTATCCATGCACCATCTAAACAAAATGAGTAGTTTTCAAGAGTTAAGTGGTATTATTTTAAGGAGGCCTAAACATAATTAATTTTATTCCTACCCCATCTTTATTTACTAGATCTCATGTCACCTGTGCTGTTGTTTTCACAAGTTTAATGCCCAGGTCACCAGCCTTGAGTTACCCAAGTAATTCCATTTTATTTTCTAGCAAACAGACACAATATCAGCATTCATCCACTCCTCTGGAACCTCCCTGTTGCTCAAGATCTCCTGCCTTGGGTTAACCACAGCAAGGGTCACTTGGGAGCATTTAGTGCATGTTCAGATGCTCTAAGAAAATACAAAGCTGAATGTTGAGCATTATGACTGAAATCCTTTCCTGAAAAAAAAAAAAAACAACCAAAAACCAACAAACCAAAAAAAAACCAAATCCCAAACCAAACACAACAGATCTGAGCCTGAACAGTGGTTTGGGAAGAGCAGTGAAAAAAACAAACGGTGCTGCAAACGTTTTTTCTGAATCCCAGGGTCTGATATATGTAAACACCAGAAATGAAGGAAATTAATTTTTTTTAATTATACTGCCACTGAAAGCCCTTTCTAAGGCTTTCACTGGGCAGTGCAGTCCAGCATTTTTGAAATGCATGAGAGTGGAAAAGGGTGAAAAGCAGGATGCAGCAACTCTCTCACCATTTCTTGGGAATTTCTCTTCTTAAAGACAATTCTCTTTTAGCAAACAGGAGGCTTAGCTGGGAAGATCTACTATTTACACCTGAAGTGGCTCAGGTAATGAAAAAATACTTTTTAAATCATTGCATCTTGTGGTGATTTAAAAAAAAAAAAAAAAAAGAATATGTGCAATCTTCCCTTTATTTAATAGGAATTTGTAATTTTGTCCAAGCAGATCCTTGCTATAAAAACACCATTTGTCAATGAAACTAGTGAATAAGCAAATCTTTTAATAAAAATGAGATATTTTACACGCCATGTCTGCACTGGGCATCAAGAACTGTTCCATCATTCCTCACAAGGGGTCACTTTTTAATCTCTTCCTGCCTTAAGGGATGCATCCCACATACAGTGAATAACATTCACATTCTCCTCCTCCCTTTTTTATTTTTTTTAATTTTATTTTTACCAAACTCATTGAGGTAGCCACCGTGTTTCCAGTCTGCTGGCAGTGTTCCTGTGTAGTCCATGATAACGCTTCGTTTTCCAGGCTCTGCATTTTTCAGGTTCACAAACAGCTGGCTGGTTTTTGCCTATTCCAAAGAAAGAGAGGCAATAAAACTGAAATTGCAGGGAAGATGCTGAATTTCCAGGTGGTAATCAGGAAGAGCAAAAACAAGCCAGACAGGAGAGATGAGGGAACAATGTAAAATAAACTAAAGCAGTTTCCTTGTTTTCCTTGCTGTACCTTTGCCAAGGTCAGTCTCTCCATGTTGGTGACATGGGGTGGGCTGGAGCACTGGGTCAGAGTGTGGTAACTGGGGTTAGAGAAATAGCGGCTGTTGACATTTCCACCATTGGTATGAGGGATGGTATCTGGGAAGAAAAAGAAAGGAAAATCAACAAAAATATGGAATTCCTTTCTTAAGACACGTTTTTGGCAGAGCTGCACTGATTTCCAAATCTGACCTAGGGATCCCTAAAAAAAAAAACAACCCAACAAACACAAAACTAAGCATTTTTCATTCATTCCAGGAAATGAGAGATGCAGGGCAGTGAGTGAGAAGTCATTTCTTCACTTTTAGCAAGGAGCATTCACAAGTGTAACCTGCTAACTTAACTCCTCTCTCAGAGCTGTGGTCCCTTGCTCTGTTTTTCCTTTCTAGCCACCATTGCAGTCACTTGTACCATCAGGTCTGCATCCACATTTTCTGGTGCTCCAAGAACACCAGGACCTTTGCTGTTTTGCTTTTCCTTGACTCTGACAAGTCTTCCTGCTGCCTTCTTCAGCTGCTGCTTTCCTTGACAGTGGTGCAGTTCAGAAGGCACAATTGCCCCAGGTTTCATGTACCCATTGAATCCCAACTCACAGGCACTACAGTAGGCCAAGAACTCTTGTTTGTTCCATTGCTCCTTCCCTTAGTCAGTTTCAAACCTTTTTCTGTCTGTTTCTCTGCAGAATCTTGCTACAGATAGCATGAAATCCTGATTTGCTAAACTCTTCTTCTATTCAAGCTGTTGGCATTGAATTTGAAGTCCCTTGTAGGAAATCAGATTTTCCCACATTCCAGCTGTATATAAAAGCAGGCACAGAGGACAGAAACGTCCATGTTTAATGCAGAAAAAAATTTTCAGGGTGTGAAATGTTGCACAGGAAGGCGAAGTAAATGGTCACTTTTCTTTAGAATGAAGACATTTTGCCAGGGTGTGCCACCTTCATGGTATCAAAGAGCAGAAATATTTGAATTCAAGCCCTGTTAGGGGCAGATCTGAGCACAAAGACAAGAGATGGAGGGGAAAAAAAAACCAAAAAACCCAAGTATTCTAAACGTGACATACCTGAAATGGTGTAATCTGCATTGATGACCCTCATAGCAGGGGTGTAGGTCACGGTGGGCATGTGTGTCTCCTTCCCTTTCTGCTTCTGCCTGTAAATGATGAACAGCACCAGCAGGAAGAGCACAACCAGGACGAGAATGATGATGCCAGCTATGGCTCCTATCTGGTAGGAGTCAGCAGGGAGGGCAGTGCTGGTACGGCTCAGGCTGTTCAGGTTCCCCACTATAACCACACCAGCTGGAATAGAAGAAGAAAATGGAAATAAATGGCATAAACCCGGGGGGGGTGACGTGTCAGGAGCAGGAGACAAAATTTCACTTCGAAATATGACTGTATTCAGTAAGGATAGAACAGAATTCTGTCAGGAATCAATCCTAAATTTAAGAAAGAACACTTAGAATCTTCACAGAAAGGAAAAACACTCAGAATTTTCACAGAAAAGAGATGTTTTCATGGATTTGAAAAAGTAAGAACATTTTCTGGGCAAAGGAACAGGGCTGGTAAAGCCCATGCTCCATCAGCACCTTTGAGCAGCACTGCCCTGTAATTTCATGCAAATCCAAACTCCACTTACTTTGCTCCGGTTAATTATCACTAATCTAATTTAAAGCCTCAAAAACTTACGTGAATTAACAGAATGGGCTACATAAAAAACCACCCCACCTGTCAGATTTATTTAATGAATGACACCAGAGATGGTGTTCAACAGGTGAAGCCAGTTTCTGTGTGAAAAGGTGACAATAAAATTTGATTATGTCTGGGCTTTACCTTGATCACACCTGGCCCCTTTCCAGCCTGGGCTGCAGTAGCAGGTCCCTGTGATGTGGTCACAGGTGGAGTTGTTCAGGCAGTCACAGATCTGACGGCATCCATACCCGTATGTGCCCTGGGGACACTCTGCAAAAAGGACAAAAAGCAAGAAAAAATCTCATTGAAGTTTGGAGTTCCAGGTCTGCAGCACCACGGGAGCCCAACCCCACACGTTCCTGTCCCTGGGCAGCAGGTGGCAATGTGTCATCAGCATCAGATCTCTCCTGGAGATGCTCCCAAGAGGAGCATCCTTCCTCCTCGGTGTGCAGGAGGGAGAGAAATTGTGCTCAGATGTGTATTCATGCTTCACCTGCAATGCCACCAAGGCAGTGCAGCGAGGAATCAAGGCGGGGGAAAATAAAGGCAAAAAAAAAGGATAAATTTTTAGAAATTAGAAGGCAGTGAAGAAATGGGCAAGGTGTGAGTAAAGAGCCAGAAGACTCAGATCCCAGTGCCTGAAAAATCTCATTATCATCCAGGTGGAACCAGACACCTGGATGGTGTCCTGTGGTGTGCTGGTGCAAAGCAGCAAAAGGAAAGGGCCCTAACAGTGAGTCTAAAATGCACCACACATTTACAGAGAAATACAACTGCTGCCCATTGCATGCTCTGATACTGCAATGTATACACTGAGAAACCAGCGACAGGAGAAGAATGCTAAATTATGGAGAATAAAGTGACTGGGGAAGTTGTACTTAATTATGAATTACTTGAACGTAATACTTAATTACTGATCAAAGTGTCTCCCATGTTATGTAGGTGTCCTTGTAGAGAATTACCCTACACTGATAAAAATGATTTCTTTTATCCTGCCACCTCTTGGTACTGCGTGGCCTGGCACATTACAGTAATTCTGATGGTTTTATCAAGTGTAGTGTTTCTTCATTTTTTCTGAAATTTCTTGAGAGTTCTGCACCTATATTTACTTCCTTTTGTCTTTTTAAAAGAATCTAACTCATCTTTCATGCATTCCTAATTTGGAAAAATTTAAAAAATAAAGTGAAACAAAGTGTGCCAGAGAAGAGTCTTGCAGTCTTAACAAATGTCAACTCAAGTAAAAAAATTCATGTTTATGTACCTCCTCCTTCTCTTGATTACACTCAATAAAACAAGATTATAAATACTGAGGTAAATGGGTGGCCAAAACCCATCATGTCGCAATCTATTTTTGCATTTCAAGATCTGAATTAGAATGAATACCAAAACATGTAGCTTAGCACTGCTAAATCATTATCATCAAATTGTAGGATAAAATACAAAATCCGTAACAGAGTTAGATTTGCCAAATTATTCAAAGCGATGTTTTGACATCAAGAGACTATCTTAAAAAGTTATCTTTTCCTGAACATCAGTGATGTTTTGAGGAGAAACACAGATGTCATTTGAATGCACAAATTTGGAAGCAGAACCCTGTAAAGTCAGCAAAGGTTGGACAAACAGTCCTGTGCTCATGAGCCTGATTGTTCTTTCAATGTTGCAAAACATTACACCACCAGTGATGTCAGTGGTGTTATCTCTGATCTTCCTGAGGAGAGAACCATACGTGTGTGTGAAAACATGAAAACAAAATGCCACCTACGACGCTTTTACAAACCAGCTGTGCCTTGAAACCACACTGTGAAGGTTAATTTCATCCACCAGCACTGATGCGTTAATTCTTGCCTCCAGTTTTCCAACTCTTAGCTGTCACTGTGGTTTGTACTAATGGATACATTTCATTACTTTCACAGGATTCTAATGACAATTCCTTGGATTCATTTTGTTGCTTTTACACGACGGAGTAAACTGGGTGTTCCTTTAGCGCTACGCCCACAGCGACCAAAACGCAGTGCAAAGGAACAGACACCACAATTGTGCCAGCTTAATTCTGCGGGGTTTTGAACAGTTTGGAAAAGCCTGTGGCCAGCTCTGTGCCCATCAGAAGGGGCCCTGGAGGCCAGAGGCTGTGTCCCAAGGCAGAGGGAGGGAGGGAGGGAGGGGTGTGCTCACTGTGCTCGCAGTGCCGCCCCATGAAGCCCGTCCGGCACGTGCACTGCCCGCTGATGTGGTCGCAGTCGGCTCCGTTCTGGCACTGGCAGATCAAGGCACAGTCCTTCCCAAAAAAGCCCAGGGGACACCCTGCAACACAAGCAGAGGGAGGGGGGAGAGGGGTGAAGCAGCTGCTCTGGGAGTGGAAGGCAAACATTCTGGTTCGGGGTGTTGCTGAGGGCTGCTCCTGCAACTCCTGAAACGGAGAGTTCTGTCAGCGCAAGGCAGCGAGGCAAGACTTGCCTCGTGTGGAGTGGTTTAAAACACACACCAGGCAAAAATGAATTTGGGAAATGGTGCTGGCAGCAGAGGTTCTGAAAAGACAGCTCCTTGAAGAAATGGGCTTCCGAAGAGATTTGAGGGCACTTTGGGAGTCTGCCCATCAGTCAGTGACTCTCTGGCCCTATTTCCTTCGTGGTTTGTACTGAAGCATTAAAAAAGCCAAAACAGCAACATATTGTACCTGAGCTACTCACAAAGAAACCATTTCAGTATGAAGAAGACACACCACTGCAAAGAGATCATTATTCACCAGCAGGAAGCAAAAAACCCCTGATAGCTGACAGCTGAACCAGCATAGTGAATGTCTCCCAGAACTGCATCCATATGGTCCTGTAATGTATCTGTTATTTCCTGCCACTATGACATTACTCATTTGAAACAGCAAAGTTCTGATTTTATGAAAAAACATGTATTTGAACACTGAATGCAAAACACAGTCAGCAGTCCAATTTTTCTTGAGGTTAAATGCAGGGGTTGTGGCCAGGATCACAGTCAGTGATGGCAACCTGAATTGAAGGTAAACCAAACCAAAAGTGTAATAGGAAAAAGATAAGAAGTCAGCTTTACCCATATTTATTTCTAACAAATGTTTATTTCTCAAACTTTGTATGAACTCTTAGCCTGCATGTAATGAATGACACATATCTACACCCAGTCACTGCACAGCTATTTTACTTTAACAAAAACCTCTTAGAAGAAAGAAACCCAAACAGTATTAATGTATTATTACATGAAAAAAAATCCAGAAGAAATTATGTTACAGTCTAGTGAAATACTCTTTCAAGGCTCCAAATAAAAACATCTTCTGTATCAGCACTTGAATTCCAGGTTCAAGCTGTTCTGGAGGATAACTGTGTCACTGATGTTCAGACTAAGGACGAGCACAAAATTCACTTACTCTGTGTGCAGTAAAGGCCAGTCCAGCCCGGGGTGCACTTGCACTCCCCATCGTAGGCACTGCAGAAAGCTCCATTGTGGCAGTTGCACGTGTGGATGCAGTTTGGTCCCCAGTGGGAAGGTGGGCAAGCTGCAACAACCCAGAGCAATTAATTAACCTCAGATGACAAAGGTTCCTTGATGCACATGAATAGAGCTGCTTCCATTCACACACCAGCACTGCTTTGTTTGCTGTTCGCTGTTTTTTCTCCCGAGTTCATGTTTTGGGTTGCTCTGTTCTGAGCAAACAGCCATAGATTTATTCATTTATTTCAGCTAAGGAATCATTTTACTGCAGGTAAAAAGTGCTTAAAAATATTAAATGGGTGAAGAATGCATACTCAGTACTCAGTAAATAGGGCATTCACAGAAGCTTTCTCACAGAGAAAGCCATTAGGTTTCCTTTCTTATTTTTTACTCTGCAAACAGTCAAGGTGATACAGCTTTTAAACTTCAAAAAGTGAAGGAAAACAGAGAAGTTGGAAACTCCTATATAGCCTAGAGCTTTAGATCCTATACTGAGCCTGCTTCTTGTGCTTCCACTGTTAAATTTCATGTATTTGCCTAAACGTGGTGAAGATAATCAGGTCTGTACCTTAATCTGGTTAACTCAGTTGCTTCCGTGGGTCCAATAATCAATAAAATATTTTTAAACACCAAGTAATTATCCAATAATCAATATAATATTTCTAAACACCAAGTAATTATCCACAGAATGGAGATTATTTTTTGCACAATCATGTAGACTCATTATGAGACAGAATTTACTGGCTGCTTTGCAAATGTCATGATGGATGAATCTGATGCTATGTGCTGCCACTAGAACTGTGAAGTGGTTCCAAAATACTAATTACTATTCAGAGACAGCAAATGACAATTTTCTTCATGGTAGATATCACTAAGTGAAGAGGGTACTCTAAGAATAGACCCTTTCTGTTGAGTAGGATTCTCATCTTGAGGAGTTTCTTCCTTTAGTAAAGAAAGCAGTACTTTAAGTAGTTAGTATTTTAAAAATAAATAGTAAAAGAAATAATTCTTTAGTACTTTAAAAATATTGTTATTGAAGTACAGTGTCAGTATTTTGTAGGAGAGAAGCAGGAGGTCAGACACTGAAGCCTTGGTTTTATTCCTGTGTAAATTTAAAAGAGTAACTCCTTATGGTTTTGTACTGATCTGGTTTCCTGAGACCAATAAAACTCTTGAATTCTTTAAACATTTGCATAATCATTCATGCATAAGTCAGCTGTACTTTTCCAAAGTAACACGTTTTTTCCCCAAATTTCAGTTCATTAAAAATTATACTATGATTAATTAAAAAACACCCACTAAGTTTGTTTTTTTATTACTTTCACTCTTTAGTTGTGCCTTGTAATTATTTTTTTGTTATTTTTTTGTGTTTGAAATTAGTGGTCAGCTAGGAAGGAATGTAAATCACATACAGGCAAAAGGTTAGAAGTTTAAAAAAGGTCGCTGGTTCTGAAAGAAATTAATGGAATCATTATTTTCCATGTGAACGAAAGGCCTTTATACAAAGCAAATAAACTTCCTCTGTTATGGTCTCTGAGCACAGCCTCAATAAACACTTCCATTCATATTGCTGGCACCATTTTCTTGATATTGATGCAGTGAGTAAGTCCCTCCTCTTCCTAAATACCCCTATTCTGCTACTCTCCCAACTACCTACTTATTTTACCATAAAAACAGGGACCTTTGTAGCCACTGGCTTCTACAGGAATGGGCCCAAGATTTATTTTGGTATCATAGTGGGCTGTGCATGCTAATCACTTCACAGAATTTAGCCAGGAAAGTTGTTTTTTGGGTTCTTTTCCCAAACTGACCAGATGTTACCCTGCACTTGTGCAGAGCCTGGTAACCTGGGCCAGTCAAACCGTAAATGATATAAACCAATGAGCCATGTCATTAAAAAATGCACTTCCCTGGAAACCCCAGCACAATGTCTGACATTTCAGGGTATGGTACAGCAGCTTCTTTTAGTCACAAAAGTGGGTTGAGTGAAATTTTGGCATGTGTGTGTTTCAGACTGCGTGGATTTTAGCACCTTATGGGATTGGATATGCTTCTTGTGAGAGTCTTCCTTAAAACAATTATTTCCTCTAATTAGTAAATCTCATAGACCCATGCAGGCATACGGGGAGTGACTACTTAATAAAGTAACTTTACAAAAAAACAGTAAAATTAGGACCTTCCCTTCTCCTTTTTTAGGCAGTAATGAAGAGTCCAGTGAGTTCAGCACAGGAAGACAATACTCACTGAGTGAGGCAGAATTACACTAAAAATGTCTATCTGTGAAAACACTTATAAAAGGAAGAAAGAGGAAAATCCATCACAGAGTTACAAGCACTTAAAAAAAAAAAAAGGCATAGTGAAAAATTTCTTAACAAAATGTTCAAATGCTTAGTGAGAACAAGGATGGTTGTGCAGCCAGAGCACTAACCTATGTGTGAGAAATTTTCAGCTTTGTTCTTGGCCTGGCCAGAGAAGTTTAGGATTATTTATCTCTCCATTATTTTACCATGAAGTCCTAATTTCTGACTTAAGAGAGTGTTTCTTTACCAAAGAAAAAAAAAAAGTGTTTTAAGTAGCTGCACCCTGACTGTTTGTCCTAAAATTAAAGGTGAAGAAAATCCAGGTACTTACGCTGAGAGCAATCACTACCAATCCATCCAGGGTAGCACTGACAGGATCTATCAATAGGATTACAAGTCCCATTATTGGTGCAGGTGCATATTCCAGCACAGTTCTTCCCAAATCTGCCACTGGGACATACTGAGAAAACATTGTCAGAATTAGAACTCCTTAGTGATCAGAACAAGATTTCATTTTCTTCATTTCAGGAGAAAACGACTAATATTTGGATTGAGAGAGGTGTAAGGGTAAAGTGAGGTATTGTAAATTACAGTGACCACAATATCCATATTCACTACACAAACAATTAAGAGTACAGAGAGTCTCACACTGAAGGATGAAACAACCTAAGACTTCTGATTTATAAATGAACACTCCACCAACAGAAAGTATCTTTGTTTTGACAGCCCCCAAGTGATGGAATGGAAACCATCCCATGGGGGGTCTCTATGGCCAGCTGTACCTTCATTGCAGAGGGCTCCTGTGAATCCAGGCAGGCAGTCACACAGGCCAGTGATGTGGTGGCAGGGGCCACTGCTGTGCACGCACTGGGGGCAGGTCTGGCTGCAGCGGTGGCCGTAGAACCCCGGCGAGCAGACTGGAAAACCAGAGAGGAGACAAGCTGTCCCTGCTGCTTCTCCTGCCACCAGCCGCCCTGCAGGCCCGGCTTGGAGCTGGCTCTGCTCTCTCCAGCCCCACAGGTGGTCGTTGTTATCTGTGCAGCTCAGTGATTTACACTCCCAAAACAAGATCTGCTCCCTCTCCTCAAGGATTTGGCGTAATTCTGCTTCATCGCGACTTTGTTGACATTCCGTTACATGTCAAGCCACCCTGAACTTGGATAATGTTTGGAATGCATAGATGCTTTTATTTTTTTGGCTAAACAAGGACATCTTTTGAAGCACATCTGAAGCAACAGAGAGAATAGTTTTATCTCCAGATGTGTAAGGTCATCTTAGACCTTGATTCCTGATGTGTTTTCTAGCTTGGAATTCAAATAGCCACAACTTCGCTGGATAAAAAGCACAGATGTTTTCCAATCAGCCTTTCTTTTACATGGTACAGGGTCACTCTAACTTTCAGGGAACCTTAGACCAGAAATACAGAGTTGTGCAGTTAATTGTGATGCTAAAAGCACGAGTTCTCAAGAAGTAAAAGTAAAAAAGGGGAGGAAGAAAGGCTGCTTCTCCTTCTTTGTTGATCTAATCCCTTTTGGCATTTATTTCCTGATAAATTAGAATATTAGGTAAGAGATCAAGAGAAATACCTGAACAGCTGCAATTAGCACTGACTAAACTACCTTGGAATCTTTTCAATATTTCGATTTCATTCAAGATTCAGTCTTTTAATTACACACTTGATACAAGTTATATGGCCAGGATCTCTCCAGAGAGATTAACTTCTCCAAGTGAAACAGTGCCAGAAGGTCTTCCTGTTTACTGAAAAGGCAGTTTCTGACCAGGATCCAAATTATTCCTATGACCTTTGTCTTCCCAGCCTGCAGACCGTGCCTCAGAGGGGCACTGGGCTGGGAGCCCCTTGTCCAGGTTATAGGCACAGTTCCAAAACACCAGGGAACATTTTTCCATGGCAGTGCTACACTTTGGATGCACTGATTGACTGCAGGGCCCTCGGAGATTAGATAGTGAGAATAATTAGTGCTCACAGTCAGGAATGCTCAAGGAATACTAATGCCACACTGATGTGGGATTTAGCAGTGCCGCGACACAGCCTTCAGCTGGAAATGTTGCCGTTCCTGGACTGGCACAACTTCACCTTCCTCTGGTTTTCCTTCTCCTGACAGTGACCATTTCAGGTAATCTCCTGCCTTTTAAGCTTCTTTTGGAAGAGCCAGGAGCATCTTTGCTTGTCTTTAGCCCACCGGCTCCTGGATCCTGTTTCTGGGAGACCTACTCTGGAAACTGGGCTCCCCTCCAGTTCCAGACAAATCACATTTCTCTTCCCTGAACACCTTTCCCTCACAGCTTCAGAGATTCAAACTGAAGACAGCTGAACCGCTGGCAAACTGCAAAATCTTGGGAGGGCAGACTTATTTACCTCCCTAATTCTGGCACGATTTTCCTTAGTTCATCTGTATCTCTCTTTGTGAAATTTGTATTTTACCCAGACAAGTTTTTCAAAAGGAGCCATGGGTACATTTGACATTCTCTGCTCATTGTGGGGCCTCATCCCACTGACTATTCTTACAAAACAAGTGTTAAAGCCCCAAATATTAACTAAGCTATTGGTTCCTAGCAGACAATGGGAAGGCTTTAAGTTTCTGAAACTCAAGTATGTTTTATTTACCTGTATTACAAACTTAACACTCATCAATGCTTTAGAATGGAATCCCCTATGACACGTCTTGGAAAGTCATGTTCATAACAGTGCCACAGGACAGACAATGAATAAAAGGAAAGCTGTACCATAACAAGAAGAGCACTACTAGATGGACACATCTGTTAATTTCAGGTAACCCTTTTTTTTTTTTTTTCTGAATATTCACGTGTTTTGACAAAATGTCCAATCAAGGAGGGTGCCCTAGCCTTTCAGACTGCAATTAGCAAAGCATTAGGATGTTGTATGATATGTTTTCCAAGCAACTGGGGAGAAACAGAGATTTTTGAAGTATTTATGTTGTCCTTACTTCTCTGGCAAGTGGCGCCTCTGTATCCTGGTGCACACTCACAGATCCCGTCATCTGGAGAGCAGGATGCTCCATTTTTGCAGTAACAAGGCAAGGAACAGTTTGGACCCCACTGTCCCTCAGCACACACACTGTCACAGTGAATACCTGCAACCACAAACAAACAAAACGTCTGTGAAGAGCTCTTGTGCACAGTTAGGTTAAACCTTTGCTGAACTTTAATACACAGCTCACAAACCTGTTTATCAAAACATCACTAACGTGAGGAAAGTACAAGATAAACCTGCATCTCTGTTCCTGCCTTCCTCAGAACAGTGAATTTCCCTCATATTCCAGTTTTGGTGAGAGGTACATAAATGGCTTTTGCTTCCTCCATAATGGCTGCTTCAAAACAGCAGAAGGTTTTTGGTTTCAGATTTTATGTTTGGGAAAAGCACGACAGAAGGTATTGCAGGAACTTTTCCCTCTGAGCATTCTTTGTGTCTGATATAACTTGTGTATAATAATGGGGTGCAGGACACGGAATGATTTCTAATTAGTGGTGAGCTGATTACTGCTCAGCCTCGTACTGAACGGAAAAATGTAGCGCACACAAAGGGTTTCCAAACACACCACGTGAGCATTCCAAAATGCTGAGCTGCCACAGTGTTAAGGATGCTGGTCAGCCAGTGCTTTGTTTAACCTGTTTCAGTATAAAATTGATTGTAAAATGGCCACAACTTGAATCTCTCTACACATAGATCCTAATACACACCACCCATTACAATCATCCAATCAGAGTTTGTTTGCTGGGTTCTTTTGTTTGTTTGCCTGTCATTTTTCTTCACAATGCAGAAGCATTAAATATAATTTCCCTGCTTTTAAGAAGCACTGTGCATGTTAAATGCCAGCAGGCACCACCGTGGAACTCAGACCCTATTGTGTCTGCAGCACTTTGCATTAACAATAAAGTTTTATTGTAATGCCTCCACTGAATGAACTCTCCACTAAGGGAAAAGTGGACTGGATCCAACCACAAGCATGTCTTGCTTTGTAAGTACTTCCAGCAAAATATGCCACAGGTTCAATGGCTGCCAGGGTCCTACAAAAAGCAAAACAGTTTTACATGTGACAAGGAAAAAAAAAAATCTTTTAACTTTGAACCCACAGCTTGTAAAAATCCTGAGAAATAATTACATGGTTTGCTGATAGAGCAGACTAAGAGGTGATTCCTCAACACCCCCAGCATGTGCCTTGCAAAGCTGCCCATATCTAAAAACCAACTCTCTAATTAGAGGAAAGGTAGAACTGCAGACTCTTGAACTGTTTTGCTCTGCAGGACAATCAACAGACTGAAGAGTCAAATATGTGTTTCAACAGATTGCACCAACCTGTGCCAGCACGATAGAAGAACACCTGGCTTTAAAAATCCAGATACTGACAGACTGTACCCAGGCTACCTCAAAGCCCCAACTGCACAATGGTCATCAGTACTGACCTAAACCAAACCTATTGTCAGAAAATGAAAGGCTGCTTACATCACTCCTTCTTCACTTTCTGCCTGCCTAGAGAGCGTCTGTCGTTCTTCTGTCTCCATCTACATTTGAGCGTCAGTGCTGACTCGTTTCCCAGCAGTCCACTTCAAACTTTTCATCAACTCATTTAAGCAAATTAAAGAGAGAGGTTTGATTTTGAGAGATGCTGGTGCACAAGGGCAGTTGTGACATCAATGCATTTAACTAATTTTTTTTTTTCCCAGAAACAAGACCACTACTACTTCCAGCTGCTGCTTTCCCTGGTGTTCCCAAACTTGAGAATTTGCGTCTCCAAGTCTGTGAAAACACAGGCAGAGCCCCTCAGAGGGTTATCTGCCATATCACACATAGCTGCAGAAAAGACATTTTTCCACAGCCTCAATGGGGTGTCAGCGGTGCCCAGTGTATAATGGTCACTATTAACAAGCCAGTGGTTGCCAAGAGCTACCAAAGTGCATTATCTGAGATTATGTAGACCAGTGACATACAATAACACCAGGCTCAATTATACTGCCTTGATCTGTGCACAGAGGATGCTTTATGACAGCAGAGTGTCCGAGGGTGATGCGGGCACGCTGGGATGGGGAAGACAATGGGTCCCATGCTGCACAGAGCCACGGGGCTTAAAACAGAAAATACCACTAAAAATGGAAAAAAGGGGGAGAAAAAGGCTCCTTCAGTACACACCAGGGAAAACCATCCCTTAGGGAAACTGAAAAAACCTGCTTTTTATCTCCCACTCCCATCCCTTACAAGGAGGTGAAGAATGGCATCATTCTACTTAGCAAATAAACAGTGTGCACTAAATGTCACTGGGTAACAGTGATGACAACATAACACACTGAAAGACTGCTGAACACAATTCTGTTTCGCTGTAATTTTATTATATTCACTCTTGATCATTAGGAAAATCAGTTTTACTCCTCTGAGTGTAAAGAACCAATGCAGCAAGGCCGAAATAATTTAGTTATTTACTGCATCTCTACTTATTAAGATAGTTTTCAGTCTCACTCACTATTTATTTATTTAGGTAAGTTCCCAGGGCACTTAAAAATAACAAGGTGAGTTTTGAATCTTATGGTTGTAAAAACCAAATGTGTATTTTTGAGAAAGAACAGGTTAGAAATATTAAAGCATTGAAAAAAAAATTTAAAAATTAATTTCCAGAGTGATGCTTTCTATGAAATTTCGGCAAAGAAAGCTATGCTTTGATAAAAAAGCCACAAATTATTCAGGGAAGAAAAAGCATTTTTACTAGAACTTGCAAAGCAAGATTAGACTCACTTTTTACAACAGTGTTACCAACTGGTTGATGACTGCCAGAGTTTCGTGCAAGTATTAATCTCTTGACACAATAAAATTGTTTTTATTAAGTTTTCATGTTGGTTCTGATACTGATAAGGATATCTGCGAGAAAATGTTTTTGCCAGAGCTATGGACAAAGAGCTCTTTGATGGCCTTCACAAGTTGCTAGGCAATAGCTGAATGGTCATGATAAACTTCAGCTAAGCTGCTCTGAAGAAATGCTCGTGCATTTAATGCCCAGTGCTTTATGCTGGGGGCCTCACATCCAAATCAGCATTCCCCCAGCATTCGTAATTGCATGAATGAAGTGAAGAATTCTTCAGGGATACCACTCCTTCTGCCCATGCTAGCAGAGCATTTGCACACTCCCCATGCTGTGTTTTTAAGCTGAGACTCGGTGATCCACCCGAGTCAGATCAACAAAGAGCTGATTTGCTTTAGCACTTGAAGCGGGGGGGAAAAAATTACCAATTATTTCTTACTATCTTCCCAGGCAAATTTACTATTGGAGTAAGTGCTGTTTTACACCTTATTATGTTTCCATTAGTCTGATAAAAGGTTATCCGAACTTTAAGAAGAGTATTTTTTTTTTGTAAAGAACTTGTATTTGCAGTGCAATTTATGTTAACACACATGGGAGCTTTCCAGTATAACCCCTCAGCATTAAAAACTATTTATATACTATTTATATACTGTGTACTTCCCATGTGCCAGTGCAAAACTGGGTATGTAGCAGCCCAAACTAAAGAAGAAACAAGACTTTCAAAGGCTGGAGGAATCCTGGTGTCATTAAAGCTAATGATGCTTTCTCATTATGGTCCAAGAGCTTGCCCTTCATATTTGAGAAAAACTAACATTTCTTTTCAAGGCAGCTGCAACTTCTGATGGGTGAGAATTACTTTCCTAATTTCTCTGTCAAATAACGGGCAGCCTAAAGAAAGAGAGGTGGTGAAAAATGTCCCAGGCACTATTTTAAAGCACCCTCACTGTCTTTGAGGGAGGGTGGCACCTTACTCCACTGCTGAAGGTAGCAAGAGGAATTAATTTAAGTGTCCCAAACTGAGGAGCTAATGAGAGGATCAGAGATTTTTCTCTAGAAGTGCAGATTTCAGCTGCTTCCCTGCAGCAGCAGGAGAGTCATGGCTGGAAATTTTGGTAGGAAGCCAGCTAGAAAAGGCTGTCAACAAGGACATCTGAGTTTGAAGGCAGAAATCCTTATCTGCAAATTTTAGTAGCAGAGTCCCTTTTGAAGTATTTGCGGTATCCTTCTGAAGGCCACGCTCTTGCTACATACTGTTATCCACTCCAGAGGTGCTCTTCTTTTCATCTATCAATCCCTAGGTAGCCACCAGGAAATAAGACTTCTCCCTTTTTCAACTTCTTCTAGGCAGAAAACAGGTCCACCTAATCAGTGATTTAAAGCTATTTTTTTTTCTAAAAGGGTGGTATTTCTTCTGCATAAAAATCCACCACAGCAGAGAACAGGCACAGAGAACAGCCATACAGACACAGTGAAACCCAGATGTAAGGTGGAACCCAACCTCTTATTGGAGAATTCCTCTCCCCAAGCTTGAAAAGCAAATTTGTCATTTATCATGAGAGAGTGCCCAGAAGTAATTTCATTTTGCAGCTCACTGAGTATTCCTTCCAGTGGGGCCTCATCCTTCAGGAGGCTGGGTGGAACTGGTGGCAGTGGAGGGAAAATTATGTTTTCACAAGAGAATCCTGGCTTGGGTGCACTGGTGCTACAGCAGCAGCTCATTTTTGCTCCAAAGGTGAGCAACACTCACGAAAGAACCCTTCCAATTCTGTTTTTTTTTTGTAGGACAGGGAAAAATGCACACTCATGGAAAGCTGAGGGTGAAGGCAGAGCTGCAGACCTGGGTGTTTCCACCAGCGGGGTGGGTGTCAGATGGCAGACCTCCCCTTTATAATCCAGCAACAAATGTGCCTCTCAGGAATACTGTCAGAGGCACATGGAAGGACACAGAAACAACACATCTGGTGATGGCTGAGCTGAGTAATGCCAGCAGGTGTCCAGCACAGAAAAAGTCACTGACACCCCTCCTGCTGCAGCCTGTGGGTGAACGCCCTGCCTGCTGGTCAAATGTGGGCTGGTATTACTGCATCTGTCTTTTCCACAAACCACTGCCATTGTTTTGGTACTAGATAGCAGACTGGTGGTATTTCATAATCCCTGGCATCACGTAGCCTTTAAATCGATTTTGAGAGTAACAAATGTCGCGCCACCCTGACGTGACATCTCCTCACAAATGCAAAGGTGCTGCACCAGGGGGAGCAGAGCAGAGATGTCTGATCAGGAACACCCACAACACTGCAATTACACTAATAAACTGTCTGGAGGGAAAATGCTTTTGCCATTTTAATTAATTAATCATATTGCTTTACTTAATTGATTAATGCTTTAATGCATTTAAAACCTCTGCAAGAATATGAGTTCCTTAATCTTTCAGGAAATTTGGGAGAAATTTGACAGCTGCTTGCAGAACAGGTTAGATTAAGGGATGAAACTATCACGGTGCTTGCTGGTTTGCTTGTTGAGAGAAGTGTTAGATATACCTTTGTAGTGGAAGTTAACCAAAAGTTTTGGTATCATTTAATAGGAGAATTATCATTAACTAACAGGAGAGTATATTTTCTGTGTGTTTCTTCTGCTTTCCATTTTAATAGTTCTTACTCTTTTCCACTCTCTGGCTACTGAGAAATGAAAAAGAATTTTCCCTCCAAATGAAAAAGAAGCTATTTATAAGATGCAGTGAAAATGTCAAGGGATGAGGGAGTTTGGGGCAGACATCATCCTCTGTGTGGGCGGATGTTTCTCATTTGTGCCATCCCGTCATGTGGCTCCTGGAACGTGACGGAATGGTCAGGCTGCCAGGAAAAAAGCATCACCCTTAACTCTTCCTTCCCTAAGCAGAATTAAGCTGCTGCAGAGGGAAAACATTTTGCGAACTACAAAAGGGCACAGGATTTCTAGCAGGGGCCCTGTAAAACCTAAGTCGCTTTTGTTTAGCACAAAACAGAACCCCAATGAAAACCAGCAACCCCAAATAAAAACAGAGATCTAATGAAAGTTAATTTTAACTGTTTCTTGACTATTTTTAACACGATAATAGTGTTAAAACTATTTTAACAAAAAATAGTTGTGTCAAAACCCGAACTTTTACTCCTATGTAAGTAACCTAATAAGGTTATTAATATTGTTAACCTAATAAGGAGAACACTCTGGGCATGCTCAAAAAGACACTAAAAACTACTTAACAAAACTAGACCTTAGAGCATCTCAGTGCTGACCCAGTGGGGAGGCTGAGGCCAAGCCCTTGTGCCCACGTCAGCAGCCCAGAGCTCCCTCACACCCCAAGGTCACCAACCCACCCTCCCCATGCAGTGTTTCCTGCTCCCCAGCCTTGTGGGACAACTGTGTCACTCCATTTGCTTCTAAAAAGTTACATAAACTATTCCCTCTAAAGAAATTCCCCGGGGGAAATGCAGATAGCTGTTCTGTTCACAGGGCTGAGGAAAATGCTGCGTTTAAAGCACCCTCTTGGAAAGTCTGCGTTGTTTTGATGGCATCAAAACATTTTGGGAAGTTCACCTGGGCATCATGGATTTATTTGTGCTTAAAACCAAAAAAATGCTCACAAGCTGACGTTTTTAAGCTTCCTCAAAATGTATTTATTTTTAAAACTGGTTTAACACCATTGGTTTTAAACAACTAAATCCTTCATTTGGGTTAGATAAGCATTAAACTGACCCAAAATCTGGTTTTCCCTCTCTTTGTTTTTCAACTAGGTAGGTAACACTACCCACCCAAAACTAGTATGTCTGATGGTTACTTTCACAAACCCAACCCAAAACCAAAACAAAACCAAAAGCCAAGCCACATAATTTCTTTCATTTTAGAAGCTCCTGGATTTTCCACAGATCCTCCACCTGCTTCTCCACACAACCCTATGCACAACCTCCCCTCTTAATCCTACAGTCTTCTGCTATTCCTGCAATGCACTGTTACAGCACAGCCATTTGAGAGCCCTTTCCTTAAGTATTCCCTCCTTTTTTTTTAATCATTCCAAATATAAGCATCTGCACAAAGCCTGGATTCCTCTCTGGGTATTGCTCTGACATGCGAAGTGTGGGAGGAGGATTTTTTTTTTTTCCAGACACTGAGTATAAAGTGAGCTATGCTGTGGATGTTGTAAAGTGTGTCTAGACATCACCAACATGTCAAAACTAGTCTGTCACACACATGCTGTGCTGGTGACATCATCCAGGGATGGGGGGCTCCATTTTATCAATAATTAGGCCTCAAGTCTCTTTCTTGTGAAGTATTTTTCCTTTTAAGAACAAAGGTGAAGTAAGATTTCACTACACAAAGTTACTGTATTATGTCTTTTTCTTATTATATATTATACAATCTATATTATTGATAGATTATCCTTTTCCACACCTGAATCCAAGCACAGTCAAGGCGCACTTGAAGCCTCTGTCACACCCTGGGTTAGTTATATCACACTGGCCAGGTAATTTTTATAACCTGTTATAAAAAATGCTGCTAGATTTTTAATCTGGCCTTTCAAAACTGCCTGTTTTAACCTGGATCCATTCATTAACACATTCTGACCCTGAGTGTCTGTCTCAATTTTAGAAGACTCACAGGATGTACTTCAAGCTGTGCCCTTAGGACTTGTGAACCTACCTGCACCATTACGGATCAGCAACTCTTCACATCTTTTTATGGGGGGTATTCTTTGATTAGTACATTTAGTAATTTACGAGATCACATTTTGAGCAGATTCAAATGTAAGTTCGTGGAAATGTGTCCAAACACACACACAAAATTACCTGAAAACTACCTGAAAGTTAAGGACATTGACATCTTAACAAAATAAACATGAAGTAGTGTCTGAAAAAACAGCAATAGCTGGTATAAGGCTAATAGTATTTTTTTGTAATTTACTCAGGTAGCTTCTACTATTTTCTGCATTCCTGAGGCATCTGAGTGGCTGATGGCAAGTCACACTGCAGCCTGTGGGAAGAGAATTGAACCAAAAGTCCTGCCTTAGTTAAGTGAGTGCTGGCTCCTAAAGCTCCTCTCACTCACACTGACAGGAAATGGTGAGACAGGCCTTCTCAAAGAGATAATAAACAGAAAAAATGAGTAAATAGCAGAGAGGTTTGGTCTTCCAGAGCAAAGCAGGAGCTCTTTGTGCCACCTACGTATCTGTATCCCCTAGAGATTTCCACTTCCTACCCCCAGTAATCATAAAAGTCATGTTCATCTGAACAGAAAGGAGAAAAAGCAGCAGGTAAGCTGTAATCAGCTACAGTTAATCAACCTGAATAGTAGACACCAAGTATTATGTACTTCAAACAAGATGCTGGCAATCCATCCACAGAGCTAGGAATAAAGAGCATAGAAAAATAAAGGTTTGGGAAAAAAGCAATAGCAAGACTGTACCTATCTGAGGAGGTTATAAGCTCACCTCTACCTACTTTGTCTAAAAGCACCATTTAAAAAAAGAAAACAATTCTATCATGAACCTACAAGTCAGTTAGGCTAAACATTAGTTTATAGAAGAGTGGAATAGGTCTAAAGTCACAAATGAAACACAAATCACTGATTTTCAGAGCACAAACATGCTTTGCTCATTTAAGGTTTGCTTTTCATGCTGACTCTTCATTACTAAATGGAAGGAGCCCACACAGACAGGTGATGTGAGACCTGTGTGATCCTTGCAACATTGCAGCATGACAGAGAGGCAGCTGGAACACTCCAAGGGGGGAAAACTTACACTGTTAATTAAACTTTACAGAAGATCAAAGGGCTCTTCCAAATTTAAAGCTTAGGAATCCTTGTGAGACCCAAAACTCCCTCCTAGAGATAAAGGGAACATTTCATGATAGCTGCCTTTCTGCACAGCTCCACCACGTTTTCAAAAAAAATCTCTCTCTCCACTAGCAAGAGGGTGCAACAGCAGTGCCCAACAAAAATTTTGGTGAATGATTCAACTGACAATAATCCTTAAAATCACAACGTTAAAAAAAAAAAAAAAATTTGTGAGAAAATTTTTGTAGAGGACGAAGTATCTGCAGAGAAACTTAAAAATGTTTTGAGACACTGAAATGGCAGCACAGTTGTCTTGGTTTGAGACAAGTTAGGAGGTTGACAAGTTGGGACAATGGTTTGTTCTCTTCTTGGCTGCCGGAACAAAGCTTCCTGAGTTCCTGTACACAATGCTTTACCCCAAAGCTGCCAGAACAACCTTGGATATGTACAGCTCATCACCACTTTTGTAAGGAATTGTGTAGTGGAGGTGCCCAAGCTTTAAAGTTTCCCTTTCCATTCCCAGTTTTCTGCAGATCACACTGGACAAAACTTCCCTGCCCGCGAGTCACAGGAGGGACGCTACAGAACGGGGGGCTCTTTCCCCTTCCAACCTCATAAACTCTTCCTTTGCCCGCAAAACCAAGTCCCCCTGGGGGAGAAACTCTTGTTTTCGTGCTTCCCAAGGGTGTGTGCTGTACCTGACCATCCCGGGAGGCAGCGGCAGTGGCCCGTGACGGGGTGGCAGCCGTCGGCGTGGCTGCAGTCACAGCGCTCGGCGCAGTCCAGGCCGTAGGTACCATCCTGTGGCAACATAAAAAAAAAACACAACACCCCGGAGATGATGGCAGCTGGGAGTTAGAGGAGAGACAAGGTAGGGTCAGCCCAGCCTCAAAAAGCAGCCACGGACCTCTCCTGAATCTCCAGGCTGTAAATAATGTAAAATATTTGCGGTGTTTGGAACGTGTCAGCATCCTACACTTTCGTTTTTTCATTACAAGGGGGAAGATAAAGAATGAATTATGCTCTCTTGAAAACTCCCAGACTAAAGGAATTAAGTCTCCCTTCTGCATCAAACTCAGATCTCTGCTTATGGGTCAAAATGGGTACCACACAGAGGTATAATTTTAAAGGAAATGAGTGAAAACCATTAAATTACAAGATACCTTCAGTGTGAGGTTCACTGCATAAATCAAGCAAACTATCACTTTCTTTTAATTAGAAACATTTCCCTTGATTAAAAACATTTCTCTCTGCATTACTACATATACTCTATCAAAAAGAGATAATCTTTGGCTATGGAACAGTGCACAAAATCAAACTTTTATTTTTACCTATGCAACGTTTTTTGGACCAAAAAGAGATTAAAGTCACAAGTTGGATCACCCTGTTGGTGTATTTCTTTTTTCATGGGAAACATCCAAACATTTGATTTTGCTTTTCCTGCTTCTTCCATAGAAGCTGGCACACAGATTTGTGGATAATTTCACACAAAATCAACCCAAGAAACTGAGAAGAGCAGATGCTTTACAATCTCCAAACAAGGCAAAGTATAACAATCAACTAGTCTTGAATAAAAAGTCAAAACCAAATTTAAAAAAAAAAAAAAAGGCATGGAAAAAAGGTCAGTATAATTTACAGTAATACTTCAGGGTTACCCACAGCAAAGGCAAAAAAAAGAAAAAATGTCAGGTTTAAACCCCAATAATTTACATTCAAAGCTAAAAATTTGTGTCAGTCACATTAAAAATCTGAATAAAACCTATATGAAAATTAATCTGCTGTGCTTTGATGTTCATGCATACATTTCAACTGAGTGCCACAGGATTTAGCTATTCAACTGCCAGTCTTTCAAGTCTAAAGTAGAACAAAATCTTACATTTCTTCACTGTAAGGAGCCTTTCACTCATCTCAACAATACATTTTTATATACAGAAAAGAAAAGATTAAGCATTTCCTTTGCATATAATCAGATTTGGAATGAAAGGAAATCCTCAAATATGCTGTTGAAAAGCAGTATTTTTAGCCTGCTATGTACTTGGACTGAAGTCCAAACTGTAGTTCAAATCTTGAACAACAATCTGAGCAGTGATAATAATGTTCTGAAGTTACTGAAACAAACTGAAATACATTGATTTAAATAAAGTCCCTGCTCAGACATGAAAATCATTTCAGACAACTGGAAGTATTTGAACTATTTTTTAATAAATTATTATATTTATTATTATTTGAATAAACAATTTCTGTTTATTCCCCTGTTCTGGAATTTTGAAGCAGAATTTGCATTTGAAACAGGTAAATGCTTATGGACATTGTTTGATACAGATGGAGAGAGGGAGAGGAAGACAGTGAGCTTGGGCGTGCTGAATTATCTGACACAGAAATACTTTTAAGCTTTATTTTACTAAGTTTGGGATAGAGATGCAATTGCTCTGAAATGATACATCTATTTTTTAAATGTCAGTTTTGGAAGAGCTAATGCAGCTTGGGAGGTCCCATCGCCCTTCAGAATCAGGCACTAAGTGATAAACACAGCTGCTTGAGGAAACAGAAAAATCAGTCTTCTGCTGGAGATGCATTGCTGGAAACACTGCACACAGGTGGTACTGCCATCAGCTTTCCAGAATATATTCCATTTTCTTTGCCACTTTACTCACTACAGGAGTGCTTCATCTTAAAGCCAAAAGCAAAGACCCAAAAAATCACTCCTGAGCGTTCCTAGTGCAGTCCAGCAGAAAAAAATTTTCATTGAAAATGAGGTGATTTCTGGTTTTCTGCTGTAGTTCAGCTACTCTCATCATGTCATTGCTCAGTGGAGCTTGTCCAAACTGAAAGAAGCCTAAATGTGATATTTACAGGGTGTGTGCTCCTTTCAGGTGATTCCTTTGTAGTTATACCAAACCAACAACCTGCCCTGCAGATACATTGCAAAAATTAACAATTGACAGGGGAAAGAAAAAGAAGGGCAGAGAGCATTTATTTTATTAGTTTTGTTATAAGTTTCCCAGAAAATTTAAGCCCCTCACTGAAAACAGTGGACCCTGGAAAAACCCACTTTTTATAAGATATTTCTTTTCAGTGTATAAAATATAATTGAAACTAAAAACTTACACAATAAAACAAATCCACTTGGAATTTTATGATTTAAAAGCTTCTGAAATTACGTATTTGAATTTATGTATTTTATTTCCCCAAAGCTGCAGATTACAAGGTGGAACAGAACTGATAGGGAGCATGCCATTGTCCTCACAATGATTTCTGATTTTTCCAAAGTCTGGGAGAGAGCAGAAGCCAAAGCCCCAGCAGAAAAGCAAAGACCTGTGATGGAACTGGGTGTAAGAGCAGCTTCTCACTTTTGACTGAGAGGGAATAAAAATTCTTTGTTCATGTTGTAGCACAGACATAAGGAAAAAAGTAATTAAAATTACATTATTTGATTTGGGGTGTATTTTTTTTTTTATTTTTCTCTAATTATTTACGCTTAAAAGTAGCAGTCTGATAGCATTTGATGAAGAAATGTTATAAGAAATGTTTTAGTGCCTGTCCTTGACCCAGCACCCCATCCTGTGTGCTCCAAAAGGACTCATCCCCATGGAGACAAAGAATGGCAGATGCCCCTCCCTGCCCAATATTCTCCTACAAAAAAACCTCAAAATTCAGTGGAATTATTAAACTACCTGGCAAGGGAGTTCACATTTCTCTCCCCTCCATCCTGGGGCACAGGTACAGGTTCCATCCAGAGCATTGCAAGCCCCTCCATTAAGACACTGGCAGGTCAGGTTACAGCCCAGTCCCCACGTGCCACTGGGGCAATTTATGGAGCAATCCACACCATGCCAACCTGCCAAAGAAATGGGATTAAAGTCAGAAATTAATCAGGTTTTCCCCCATTCCTCTCAGAGGATGCTTCACGTCTCTAAGATGGGCAATACTGGGGTAAAATTCGCTGCAGGATTTATCAGCTGCTTCAGCTGAGGGCCTCTCCAGGCTGGAACAAAGGTGTTCAAGGGCACCTTGTAACATCTGTGCACAGCACACATCTGCAGATGGGTGCCAACAAGCAAAAGAGACTGATGGAAGATCTGAAATGGAAATAGAGACACCTTGACATTTCACTGAGAAGCTCTAAACTACACTGAGAGTGTTATGCTGTAGCCTGAAAATAATTAGGAATATTTTCCCTAGGCTCAAGCTGCTGCTTTTGTAATTGTTCCACCAGCATTCAACTCAGACAGTCTGCAACATGGTTTTAACATGTATTTTTTTCTCTTTTTGTTTAGTTACATACAAGTATTGCATAAACTAGATCCTTTGAGGAAACACAGAAGACATTTTAGATGATTTTTGTACTTCTCTCCAAATACAAAAAGAAATGTAATGGAAAATAGCTGTAAAATGCAGCATTCACCACTGATCGTGCCCAATAGCAATGGTTTGCAGACTGGATAGACTGGGATGTGAATAGATTTTTTAAAATGTGATCATCCATCAGATTCAAGAGGAACAGTGTGAGGCAGTCAGTCATATATTACCATCACCAGTGACACAGGCCAAGTTTCTAATTTTGTACCTTGTTTACAGTAAGTGGAGGGAAAAATAATTCTGCACTGAGACTGATCAATAGGCTATGCAAAACACATGCACAGCAATCAGGCTGCCTCGTGCTTCATTGATAACTTCAAATTCAGGGGTCATTTCAGGAAAAAATGTAGTTTTTGTAATTTGACTAGGAAATTGAGACACTCTCCCTCAGCTGCCTTCCCAGGATTTACTATCTTCCTTTGTTTACATGACAAGTACCTAGGATCAGTTAAATTTTACTTTTTGCTGTCCTCTTCACTGTAGTGTGATTAAAAGTCCATGGGGTACAGGAAGATAGGATTCTGCATTGCCGAAGGAATATTTTTATCCTCACGACCTAGCTGCTTTGCAGTATCAACCTGAACAGGGTTAAAGTAGCCATACTGCCTCTGGAAAGGGCAGAAGTTCCACATTTGCTGCATAAGTGATGTAACAGTTATCAGTCTCTGAAAAATTTAGTGGCTGTTTTTCTAGCAAACTCTATTTAGATGGGATATTGGGAATTAGAAATTGTTCTCTGGTAGGGTGGGCAGGCCCTGGCTCTGTGGCTGCCCCTGGATCCCTGGCAGTGCCCAAGGCCAGGCTGGACACTGGGGCGTGGAGCAGCCTGGGACAGTGGAAGGTGTCCCTGCCATGGCAGAGGGTGGAATGATGATCTTCCAACCCAAACTGTTACCAAATCCTCCAAAATCATTGTTATAAATAAACCCCTCTAACACTGTTCTGTGTCAGCAAGTCAGGCATTGGTCTATTCCTGGTCAGGGTCTGTGTGTGTGTGGCTGACAAAATTCTGGCCTCTACACAGATGCAGACACTAAACTTTTTCACTTATTTATCCGTTTTTAGCAAACAAAAGAAATTATTATTCATTGGTTCTAAATTACGTAATTCTCTTTCATTATGTAGCATTCTATCCTCCATTGGTGATAGATTCCTCACTTCTCAGGCTAATCAATCTGTATTTTTCACTCTTTTTATTATCTTTTCCACAGGTAGGGAGCTTCCAACACACTTGTATGGAGCCTTAGTTATCTTGCTGTCTTCCTCATCTTCTGGTTTCTGCGAAATGTCTTTGTAGCCCATAAATTCTGCACTTCTTGTATTCATTTTAAACAACACATCTCTCTCCCCCTTCCCCAGGCTTTGTTCATTGAAGCACATCAAAATTAGCTAAGGAAAACTTTAAGTTTCAGTAACTTTTCCCAAGTATTCCCACAACAGCTGCTTATGAAAAACTTTGCTAAATTGTGGCTAAAAGTGATTCAAAACTAACACACTGCTTGTAGTCAACATGCGGGTTATGACTAATTAAAAACAAATTATTAAAAGTTAATGAAAACCATTAATTTAAAAAAAAAAAAAAGAAAAGTTATGTAATTCCAACAAAACCGTTCTGGGATTCTGTATGATTTTGATTAGGAATGCTGACATCAGATAAAGGGTACATCCCACAGACCTCCTGACAGAGCAGAGAACAAATTTTCTTCCCTGAGAATACATTTTCCTTGTTTTCACCTCCCAGAGCAGCAGAAGCATCAAGTGTCTGCTTCTCATTAAGTTTCCTCTTCTCTACTTCAAAAACCCAATTTCATTTTACAGTTACAGGGAAATGAAATCCATCTGAGGAGACACTTACCTGCTTTGCAGGCACAAGAGCCATCCACAGGAGAACAAGTGGCCCCGTTTTTGCAGCTGCACACGGAGGAGCAGTTCACTCCATATGTCCCAGGGAGACAAGGGGTACCACAAGATGCACCCTGAATTATAAAAGAAGTGTCTAAAAAGAGTCTAAAAACCAATTGAGGAGGCTCAGAAAATACAACTGACTCAAGTGATATAAAAGCCAGCAAAAATAGAGACCATGCATGTCCTAGGCTGTCATTTTCTTTAATTTAGGGGAGAAGGACACTTTTTGTGCTTTTGAAGTATTTTAAAGTCTTTTCAATCTTTTCAAGTATTAGTTTTCTATTGCTTGCTGTGAGAGCTCAACTCACATAGCACCTGGTTAGATCAGGTGGATCAGAGGACAGTAATAAAGAAGCTCTTTATGAAGTCAAAACACAGTAAGAAAGAAGTCTAATGGTAAATTATGTGGGTATGTAAAATATTTTTAAGAGCTAATTTGGCTGACGTTTTCAGTTATTACTTTCACAAGAACAGTCGTACTGTAAAATGTTAGATTAGCATCCAAAGCACATGTAACAGCAAATGTGTGTAAAAGTTGCAGAATAATCTGTCCTGAAGTATAAAAAGAAGTGCTTTTGGCTGAAGTTTCTGTGGATGGAGCGTGAGGAGTTGATGACTGAAACCCATCATTCCTGCCTTTACTTACACCTGAACAGCATGCCCTCATTCTTACCAACATCTCAGAAATCAAATTAACTTCTCCTCCTAAAAACGTTCTTACCAACATCTTATAAAGCATATAACTTCTCCTTCTAAAAACGCCTCCACTGCAGCAGTGAGAACCCACCAGAAATGCTGATTTCTCAGCGTCCTACAGCACAAGCAGCGCTACCCAAACACCCCCACTTCCCTTGTACTGCAGCGGAGGAGAAAGGGACGGGGTGGCACCCTCAAGAATTTGCTGCACAACTGGGGCTGGAAACTGTGAAACTGTGAAAGTGAGACCCCTTTTACCTTAAATCCGGGGGCACAGGTGCAGGTCCCAGTGACGCTGTCGCAGTCGGCCCCGTTCTGGCAGCTGCAGATCTGCTGACACGACTCCCCGTAGAAGCCTGGCGAACACGTCTCGTTGCAGTACAGCCCAGACCAGCCTGGCTTGCAGGAGCATTCCCCAGACATGGGGTGACAGCTGCCCCGGCAGGGGGATGAAAGGTTAACTCAGTAATTCAGGACTAAACGTGGCGTAAGTATTGTTTTCTCTACATATGACAAAAAAAAAACCCCAAAAAACCCCCCAAAAAAACCCCCCAAAAAACCCCCAAACCCCCCCAAAAACATACAAAACCCCAAAAACCCAAACAAACAAACAAAAAACATAAAACAAACAAACCAAAACAAAAAAAAAAAAACAAAAAAACCCAAAAAAAACCAAAACAAAACACCCAAACTGCCCCCCCTGTTGCAGATGGGTTGCGTGAAGGGCCTTGCGTGAGATGATCTTACTTTCCACAATTTGGTGTATTCATATAAAAATATGTTCCAATTAAGATGGGAAATGTAACATTACGCAACATACAGAGATTTTGGGATGACACAGAAAGAAATAAAGGGGTATAATTTTTCTCTATGTGAGCAGAAACCTTGCTGAAACACAGTTTTTACCATAAGATAGATATCCACGGATCATGGATACGAACACTAAGAGGATGAAACCATTAAACTCCCCAACATTTGTTGTTAGTCTCCCACTCTACCAGGATAATTTCTGTAACCCTGCAGAAGCTCAGCAGCATATTGTCTGAGAAACACGATCAAGAAGAAAAATAGCGTGGCATCCAACAGGAAATAAAAACACAGCACCCCATCAGCAAAGCAACAACGTTCTCTTCATTAAACTACTTTGGAAGAGGACAACTGAGAATGGTAAAAAACCACCAGCACTGGGCAGAAGCCAGCTATAGCATGAGAGCAGTGACCTTTTGGGGAGAATCTCCCCTCTCTGCTGGCCATACCTGGTGGCAGAGCAGCTGCCTCTATACCTGGAACAGCAGTTTCATTGAAGGGCCACGCAGGCAGCTGCTGCCTGGTAACAAATGGACATCATCAGCTGTGCAAGGATATATAGGCTGAGAGAGGGGACACAATGGGGAGCTCTGTAGCACTCTGGCAGACAAAGCATTTGCTTAATTCTCACCAAAGGAAAGCCTTAGTATCCAAATCCAATGTATTTACAATGGGAAGACTGTTTGGAGATATTTGCCTCCCTTCACTGATTGAAGTGAAGCTCCTTTAAGAGTGCTAGAAGGACCAAAAAAAGAAAAAAAAAAAGAAAAGCCTTCCTCCAGACAAATTAAATGACCCATGACAAGAGCCTGGTTTTGCAAGACTTGCTGACTTTGTGTGTGGGGGTGTTATGGAAACTGAGTATTCTTCTGACCATTTGAAAATCTGAAAAAATACCTGCTGCACGTTTATAACATTACAACAGCAATCTTTGAAAGAGCTGCAGTGTAACATGGGAAGACAACATTAGTTGCAACTGCTTTTGGACTTGAGGGCTTCTCTTGTCCAAGTAAGAGTTTAAAATTGCTGAAAACAACCACTGCTCATCAGGGAAGGCATGGATTGTGAAAGCTTGGAATATATACATGGAATACATCGAACATCACCATGTATTCTGCTTTCTGCATATTTAACGCACACACTATGGCACCATAAAAATTTGTGGGTCTCCAGAGTATTAAAATACCTTTGACAGTGTTGACATGAAGTGAGAGGAAAGGCCTTTTCCTGCAGAAATGGTTCAAAACTCCTGGTGTTCATACTGAACAGCCCTGGTTATTTGTTAGTTATGTGCATGCCAGCCATGAAACAAGATGAAATTGAGATATTCTCATATAAAACACAGGCAAAACTAAGAAGACACATGATGGAGCAAGATAATCAGGTTTGTCTCCTGTCCTAAATTCCTGCAGGACCCCAGAGCTCTCACTAGTGGAAGAATACAGAGCAGGGAAGATTAAAAAAACAAACAACAACAAAAAAATCAATTCTCAACTAGAGAGTTGTTAGGATAAGAACCAGAATACAATCATAACATAAACTCAGTAGCACTGACACCTGACGACAAGAATCCCAGCGATCACTGGGAATCCTGTAAATTCCCGACCGGAAGCATGGTTTGTTGTTGGGCTTTTCTTTTCTATTTTTTTTCCCCCCTCCCAGGAGAGGGGGAGCCCACACGCATGAGGGAGCGCTGGATATCAGGCAGAGGCATTGATATTCTGTGCCCCCCAGTGAGTGTCACCGAGGCGCCCTTGCCCACGTATTGATTGGCGCTGAAATTAGTACTCCGTGATTCGTAATTAGATGTAGGAAGCCAAAGCACTTCTGGAGGCTTTTGATGGGTTCTCATGCAGTTGTCTTAATTGGCAATAATGTTTAAATATTAAGGTAGGGATATAAAGAGATGCTGGAAGATACTTTCAGTATATCCTCTTTTATTCCTGGTTGTCGGCTCACAGTTGCTGAAAATACAACCCTACTCTGTACAGACAAAAAAAATTACTGTGGGTAGTTCATTTTATGTATCTGAAGGACTTAGGTGAAAAGAATTATTTCTATATGCTTCATTTACATGTTTTGCTTTCAAAGTATCCAACCAAATTGTGTAGTACTCTAAAAAATAAATATAAGCATAAATATGAATAAATAAAAAATTTCCATTAAAAGCTCTTGCACCTGTACATACAGGCCCATCAGAAAAATGGAAATTTAAAAAGCCCTAATCTTTACTTTAAAAACAGAGCCAAACTACATGAACCAAACATGAATTCCACCAATAAAACTACACAGGTATCTCAGAAAGGGCATGAGACAAGAAAAAAACCCCCACTAGTGCTCAAGTCATGAATAAATCTTAATTGCAGGCTGAACTGCACCAATGTTATTGGTACAAGAAAGTCTTTACCTGTTGCTGTCCTCTGGGCCCCTCAAACAGATTAAAATCTCTCAAGTATAGCTATTTTTATGCTCTACAGAGCATTTAATAAAGGCTGCTGGTACAACCAAGAGCAAGGAAGGGCTTGCCTTTCATCTCCAGGAGCTGCCATCAAGCAACAGCAGCAGCAAAATCCCCACAGCTCAGCCTACCCAAAATGCAGATAATGAATTATTGTCAGAGCTGTTTTGATGCAATTTTCTGGCAATCATAAAACAGTAATAAAAAACAAAGAATGTGCATTTTTCAACTATGTATATGGAGAAATGTATGAAGAAAACAGTTGTATTCTGGAACTTATGCACACTTTCTTTAGAGCAGTATTTTTTGGAGCTAAGCTTTTTTTTTTTTTTAATTAACCTTTCTGTTAATTTCTGTATTGATTAATAGCAATAAACTAGAACTCTAAGCCTACCAATAGCTCCTCTTTGATGATATCTAAACCAGTGATCACACCCAGATGAAAAAAAGCTGTTACGGTATCAAGGGCTCCCAAAACAGAACCCCAGACCTACAGACACACAAAGTTTATTTGCAGAAGGAATTCCACCCCTTTTTTTTTTTTTTTTTGCATGCCCTGAGATTACTTTGCTGCTAAATGAATTAGTGCAGTGCTTGTGGCAGGCAAGAGAGGGTTGAGGGCATTCCCTGACACGATTAAAGAGTTGCGAAGCGAGGACAACCAGGCACAACTGGCTCCTAAAAAGATTTTCAGAAGATACTCAAAAGCCTCAAGTGCCCACAGGGAGTTTTGTCTTCTACACGATTACCCTGATTCCTGATATTTATGGTCTTGGGCACTTCCTGACCCAAGGGGAAGGAACATATATGTAAAATTCACTTGCGATGCAATGAAAATATTTGTTTTTCTCACACATCATGATGCTCTGGCAAATATGCTCCAGCCAGCACCTTCAGGGCTGTTAAGTGCCATTGGATTTGTCATTCAGAGGGGGAAATGTCCAAAAAAAAAAAAAAAAAAAACCAGTCAGATGCTGTTGTTTACTTGTGAACATTTGTGATCTGATTTGACCACGAGCTGTCTCTTCCAGTGGTATAAATGAAGGAACAGCTGTGTGGGACATGAATCAGAAGTAATCCCTGTAACATTAGAAATGGTATACAGTGCAGTGCATTCCTGTCAAACCAGGCTGCTGCAACAGTCTGCAGACAGATTTTCTGTAGGGAAGTAGCTAACTATAATTCATAACACAATAGTGTTGGGTGTGCTAGCCTAATCTGAGAGCTGGAGGGCCCTGCATTATAAAGACATTTATTCCTGAACACACTGCACAAATAATAAATTGCTTGATTTTACATCAAAACAACTCCATATTTTTTTTCAAGGTATTTCAGGCAAATGGGGTGAGCAAAAGCACAAGTACACAACTGCAGAAGTATAGGACTGGAAGGGGAAAATTATTCAGCTTGTCAACAAAAGGTGTGTTGGACAACTGCAACAAAACACAAAATAATTTTTCACAAAGAATTAACAGAGTAGCTATTTCCATGCATGGATTTAATATCGCTGCTAAATTCTGACTAAAGGCTTTTGTTTCATCTATGAGAAGAAGTGCCTCTTATATTAATGCAGAGCAGCATTCTATGTGACACTCAGTAGTTCCTGCAAATTACCCTCACAGCTACTTTCAATAGCAAAAATTTAAATTGTGCTCATGACCCTTCTCCAAGGTACTGTTATTAGCAATGCAATTAAGTGTGAGTGAATGCACACAATGACCACAGTATCTAATCAGAAGAACTGTTTTGTAACAAGAGAAAGCTGTCCACAATTGTTCTATAAATATGCTGGCTTGCCTCAACTGACATCTGACATCCCTCCCTCACAGCTGAAACTCTGCCTGCAAATAACTAGTTTTTATATTTTCATAACAATACGCTCAGATGCTGTCAAAATCTGCAAAACCTCATAAAACAGTGCTCATCACTTCCTGAATGAGGAGAGATGTGTAAAAGCTAAGCTAATGGGAAAAATATTTTCATTTGATTTCCAGGGATTGGATTTTACCTGCTCACTCAAAAAAGCTCTTAAATGACAATAAATGTACTTTTCCCAGATTTAAAATATGTAAGGGTTTTGGAATTTTGTACTAAAATCAGGCACCCACAGAAATTCTTATATAAAGAGACTGAGAGAAATGTCCAAGCTTCTCATGTCCTCACCAGAAGACCTTAAACATCCATTGATTTAAATCCGGTTATTTCTCATCTACAGTAAACCAGAGTATGTAAGAGGCAGCCCATGTGCACTGACTTTATTCAGTCACAGGGAACAACATAATGATTTATTCAGGTGGCAAACATAGATAAAGGTCATGCTTTGTCTTAATATTTATTTCATGGGTCACAGACCAAACACAGCAGTGAATATCACGATCAAACACGCTTGCAGGTAAAAATTCAAAGCATCTTTTAGGATGGTATTTTCTTTCTCATTGCAGTCAGAGAATACCAAATACTTACAAGCCTTTAGCTGCTTCAGTGTGCATGAAAGTATTAGAAAAATCAGGAAATACTCCTTTTCAGGTTGTATTTGGATTTCTGTGTCCTGTTCAGGAAAAAAAACACAAAGCAGGGCAGAGGGTGCAAAGCCTACCTCCAGGTGTTGGGCATGTGGCAGGGACACTTTTTATCACACTTGAGGCCATAAATCCCCTCGGGGCAGAGCCTGGTTTCACAGTGCTGCCCTGTGTAGCCTGGCTCACAGAGACAGGCACCATTGATGTGGTAGCACTTCCCACCATTCACACACTTGCAGGTCTCTGCACAAAGCAGCCCGTAGCTCCCCACTGGGCACTCATCCTGGCACCTGGGAGGTTAAAAAAACAAACAAACAAACAATAAACAAACAGAAAAATTGTTATATTTCCCATAAACGGCAGCTTCTGGAGGTTTAAGGGAAATTTGGTTTATGAGGAATGTCTTCTACTGGTCAAAAGTGCCACTTAAATAAGAGCAAAGATCTGTGTAACTTGGAGAAACCTTCAGGAGATCAAACCCCTCCTTTTCATCTCATTTTTCTGACAGATGAAAATGAAAATCAGTAAAAATTTGAGTTTAACCCACATGGGGGGAAGTAGCAATGATTTTTGTTGCTGCTCAAGGAAAATATATCTTAAGAAAGAGACTTCTTCACCAAACTTTTCCTCTCTCATTCACAGAGTCTTGAGAAGATAGACACTTTAGCCAGATTTATCTCCTTAATTTTTCATAGATGGTACACATTGTTTAACCTAAAGATCAGTCTGTATCATTAATCTGACTACTAGAAAATAAAATTTCAGTATCCTGCTTCTCAAATTTGCAATTCATTAACTGATGATTTTCTGGATAGAAATTTCATTTGGCTATGTCTTATGAGTTTGATGTTTTCAGCTTTGTCTTTCCTGTGTTCTAAAAATGAACTGATAAATACTGAATGCCAGTCAAGTTACATGTTGCAAAGAAATACTATTGATAATATAAGTATCTGTTCTGTTTTCCTTCTTTCTTTCTTCTGTTTTCTTTATAGATTTGGGGTTTATTTTGTTTTGGTTTGTTTTCAGGTATGACTAGTAGTTCATTGCATTAAAATTTCAAAGACACATGGTACAAGGAACTGCAAAATGTAACAGAAATTAGCAAAAGCCCTCTGACTGAAGTAAAATGAGTAGACATGTTTGTTTCATGCTTCTACAGTACTTTTCTCAATCTGATGCAGATACCCAGAAGCTTCAAGGTATTTGTAACTCTGTCCTAACTTTTTATCAATAAAATCTTCTTTTCTCCCGAGGTGTAATATAAAAGTAGAGCTAACAGCATAACAATAGAGCAAATTACCCTGTATCAATGTGTCCTGATGAAGTTATACAAATAAAGCTGTGAAAGAATTTTCCTCAAATGGCAAACAGGAACCTCAGCCAAAGTAGACAAAATTTAACCCAGATTTTTTTTTTCCTTTAAATTTAACTTGCAAAACCCATCTCTTTGGAGGAGGTGTGTATGGGCTACCTCAGACAGCGCACACGCAGCTCTCTAACATGAAATAAGGACCAAGTCCTTATTTAAATAATAACCTTGCCACTGACTCCTTCCTGCCCTTGGAACCATCTCGAAAAATGAAAGAATTGAAAATACAGCCTCTTTTGAAGGAAAAGAAGGAGGCTAAGATCTGCAAAAGTGATCACAGTGCTGCAAACTGTAAGGCATTTCAGATGAAAGTCAGATTTAAATTATTACAATACGAAAAATTTAATTACTTTAGAAACACGAATGTGTAGACACTTGTGTGGTAACTCTTTTGATTTTCCCTGGAGCCCCTGTCTATGTCTGCCTAAATGCATCTACCACCTTCTGCACTGTTTCCTCACAGACACAAATATAACTTTGGCATGAAAATGGCTCTGGGCTAATTATTCCTCTTCTTCTTGAGGTCTTTTTCCATATTATGTCTAGCAGAGCACTTCCCACGTCCTGTGAACGCTGGTGTGGAGAGTGCATATGGTTACAAAACCCACAGCTGCTGGCAAGGATCCCCTGGACTGACCCCAGTGATCAGGCTGCTGATGACTCCTGAAAATGAGTTGTGTGCTGCTTAAAATACACGCAGGAAAATGTTCTTTCATCACTTTCCACTGCCTTCAAAAGTGATGTCTCACTCTAGTATCTTGCCAATCTGCCAAAGCTGACATAACAGCCATCAGAAGATGAAATGTTTCATTTCATTTGAGCGGAGCATTTTTAGGAGACAGCTCTCCAGCCTGCAGCCTTTGAAGAGGGATTGAACGAGCCTCCCTCGCTGCCGTGAGTGCCAGACATCTGCGCAAACCCACGAGCCTCCCTCCTCACCCCTCCACCTCGGCCCAGGATGCACCATTCTGCACGACTCTCCAAGGGAGGAAGACTCACGGGAAGTGCCAGGGAAACAGTGAAACCCAGCAGTTCCTTCATAGGAAGTGTTCTCTCACATGGACTTTCAACTCGCAACCCGGCATCAGCTGAGTGACGCGGCTAATGTTTCATCACCAAAATCAGCACTTTCAATCATATCTCAGATGCTTCCACTGCTCCTTCTACCAGCTTCTGAAGTTGCCCTGCTGTGGCAGAGCCCTCCAGGCTGAGCAGCCTGGCAGGAATGGGTTTTCCTTACCGTTCCCCTGTGTAGCCTGGGCTGCAGTGGCAGTGGCCCGTCACCGAGTCGCAGGTGCCTCCGTTGTGGCACTGGCACTCCTGGGAGCAGTTCTTCCCAAAACGACCCTCAGGACAAGGCTGACCACAGACCATGCCCTGGGAGTGCAGAAGAGAAATCTTAAGAGTTGGGACAGCAGCTTGAATGGACAAGGAAGAAGTGAGGGAAGATCAAGGACATGCTGTATTACTCTCCCAGTGCTGATCTTGGAAATGCCAGACCCTTTTCCAGCTTTAAACGTTCCAGCACTGGAGGAATAATCTTCTAGGGTTTGTATGTTGGAAGTACAACACTCACAAAAAACATTCTCTCTAAGCACCTGTGAAAACACTTACACATAAAAGACTAACTGATGTCAATCTCTTCCCAATTTATTTACCAGGAGTGCTATATATCAATAAACCCAGGAATGCCCTCCAGTGAATAGAGGTGTAAGAATCAGCAGCTGCTCTAATGCCCCAATTATTCCACTTTATGGTAAGTTGGGGTTTGTTTTTTTTTTTTTTTGATGAATGATAAAGCTGTTTGTAATTTCACTTAAAGCAGCACATCCTAAAAGCTTAAGGAGCATGATTGCTCCTTTCAATGGGTTTTGAATTTCTGCACTGCCTTTTACATCCTTGGAATTAATTGCACCTGGGTGGTAAGGGAAACATCAGAACCTAAGACTTTTAAGAACCCATTTCAAGAAAAAGGTATTTACAGGCAATTCAACAGACAAAAGACATCCAGGTATTTCATCTAATGTAAGACACTGCAGAATTTGCACCTGGCTACCTTAAACCTCCCTTACGAAAAAAAGCAAATAAAAAAGGTTACAATGACAAAATAGTGTTTCACAAAACTGAAAATTCTAAAATTAAAATGTCTACTTAAATAATTACTTGGAATGGAAAATTAGTCAAAGGTCTAAATAGTCATGTATTAATTAACACACATACTAGTAGTATAAAGTTTTCCTCACTGCTTCATGTGCTATATCTCATTTTTAGTAGCTCTGTTTAGGCAGATAAAGGGGAGTCAAGAATTTATGCAAACATTTGTATTCCATGACCGATAATTTTGCTCTTCTAGCATGAAATGCAATAGAAAGTAAAAATGGCCATATTACAAGCTGGGTAGTCAGGTGTGCTACAGAATCTCACAACTAGAGATTGTATTTTATCACATGCTCTCTAGTTGGTGAAAAACTGGCCTCTACCACAGCTTATTCTCAGTATAATATAATATGTAATTAAATGATCAGTAAATATGAATTTTCACACAAAAGAAACATTTAAATGAAAAATATTATCAAATGCTCACGATCAGTATTATCAGCAAATGCACTTAAAGAATTTATTTGGGCCTTGATCACCTTCCAATTGCATTATTTTCCAACTCACAGCGGGGAGCCTGATAGCAAGGGAAGGTAATTTCCAGCTGCAAGGTCAGGTCCTAATTCCCTATCCTCTGATAAAAGGGAAAGAAGCCTAAAGATAATGTCAAGGATCTGATGTCCCATCTCCTCCCCAACAGTGAACACACTAGGCAAAGGTTTTGGACTTTTTTTCCATGCACATTGGACATGGAAAAACACTATTTTTTCCACTATTATTAAACACATTGGTGTTATTAAACACAATGGTGTCATCTCCCTATAATATCAACCTACACGCACAAACCAAAGACTCCCAGGCAAGACCTAAAGGATATTGCCTTGTCACAGCACAACTCATGTCTTTTGCTCCCCAGAATCTGATACAGTTAAAAAGGCAGTGCAGAACTGGAGCTTTTTCAGTAACAGATGGTTTCGCAAGCATTTTATTTCAGTCCCCTATGCTAAAATATGTTTCTCATTACTCCTGGCTACAAGCAGACCACATTTGCTATCCTCGTTTGCTACCCTGTTTCCCCCCCCCCATCGAGATGTACAAATATGGAAGTTTTGGGGGGGTTGTGGGGGTTTCAGGGAGCATTTTTTTTTTTTACCATCCATCCCGGCGGGCAGGAGCACTCCCCGGTGATGTGGTGACAGACGCCTCCGTTCTGGCAGGGGCACCTCTCCTCGCACTGTGGGCCGTGCTTCCCGGGGGGACACAGGTCCTCACAGCTGTGCACAGGGTGGGGACAGCACAGACACCCGTTAGCACAGGCCCCAGCTTGGCTTCCAGCGCTATCATCACCAGCTCTTCCGGCCAAAAAGCGTGGAGCACACATCTCAGAGCAGAGAGATGCGCCCTGAGTGCTGTGTGGCACCCACACAATGGATCTAAGGAAACAGACCTGGCATTCCAGGAATTACTCCTTCCCAAGGCATCTCTTCACACGCAGTTTGGCACTCATTCCCTGCTGCTCACGCAGCTCTGGAGTGACCCAAGGCCAAACAACTCCACAATTCAATGCCACTTCCCAAACCTGTGGGAAGTGGCATTGAATTATGGCCAGATTGCGACGGCCACAAAGAACCCTCTGCTGCTCCTTTTTGTGCGTTTTTCCCCATCTGCGTCAAAGATTTTTTTTTCCTCTTGGCCGCACACCTGAATGCGCCCTCCTCAACACGGCTCTGCCCGAGCCTGCTAGCTCAGAACGCAGAGTCTAAATGGAATCTAAACTCCCCAACACCCCCAAAAACGAAAAACCCACAACACGGGCACTGCTTACAAGGCGCCGGTGTATCCGGGGGGACACTTGCACTCGCCGGTGACGTGGTCGCAGGTGGCTCTGTTCTGGCACTGGCACTTCTGCTGGCAGTCGTTGCCGTAGGAGCCGGGGTCGCAGCGCTCCTCGCAGCGCCAGCCCTTGAAGCCTGCAGAGCAGTGGCAGGCCCCCGTGATGGGGTTGCACAGGGCCCCGTTCTTGCACTGGCAGCGGCTGCTGCAGTGGGGTCCCCAGTGGTCGCTGTCGCACGCTGGATTGGGGGTGGAGGGGAGAAAAAAGTTTTAAAAGGAGTTTTTTGTGGTTACGGCGCTGGAGGTGCTGTGAGATGGCGGTGCAGCGATAGGAAAGAAGCGTAGGGGGATGCAGTATGGGTAAATGAAGGTGGTATAGAATGTAATCTTACCCCCTAAAGAGTTGCAGCTGAGTTAATGATCAAGGATGAGGAGTAGGCCTGATGTTAACAGGCCACAGCTGTAGCCAACAGGAAGAGTGTTATAAAAGAGTAGATTGGTTTGTTAAAGGGGGATTGGAGTCAGTTGGCTGCTGTGAGGACAAGGAAGAGTCAGTGCCTAGAGGAGCTGCCTACAAGAAACATCAGGGAGGTACAAAACTCTAGCAATGTGGAACCCTTGCAATGTAATGACAGTAGAACTCCTGCACTATAATGACGACAAGAAATTATGGAAGTGAAATGGTTATTCCTTCTTGGTCCTTAAGGATTGTGGCAGGCAGATCAGACTTGGTTTATGTGGTTTATCCAACTGATTCTTCTCGAGAAAAGCCAACGTTATAAACACAAGGCTGAAAACTAAATACAAGTTCAAATCTCTTAATTCTCAAAACTCTTCAGTGTGACTGTGTTCACAAGGGTCCGAGGATGAGGGAAGAGATGAGGATCTGACTCCATGTTTCAGAAGGCTTGATTTATTATTTTATGATATATATTATATTAAAACTATACTAAAAGAATAGAAGAAAAGATTTCATCAGAAGGCTCAGAATAGAAAAAGAAAGAATGAATAACAAAGGCTTCTGTCTCAGACAGTCTGAGCCAGCTGACTGTGATTGGCCATTAATTAGAAACAACTCTATGAGACCAATCACAGATGCACCTGTTGTGTTCCACAGCAGCAGATAATCATTGTTTACATTTTGTTCCTGGGGCTTCTCAGGAGGAAATATCCTAAGGAAAGGATTTTTTATAAAAGATATCTGTGACACTTCATTATAACTCTTCACCATCAAGCCACGAGCTTCCTTTACAGAGGGAAGTCTAGCTAACTTAATGTACTCTAAATCCACCAATGACTCTCTTAGTCCCACAAGGAACTTGCAAAGCTTGCTCAAGTGCAGACTCATGATTTTGGGCAAATCAAAGAATTCCTACTTGTTCACGCAATTGCAAATATTTCCTTTGCAATCTTCAAATATACTGACAGGGCAAAAGAGAACACAAGAAGTAGTACACCAAGCAATAGGAAATTAACAACTACGGGGTTAAGCTTCATCTGGATGTTACAAATTTGATTATCCAATGTGTCTTTACAATCATTCAAATCCATCTTTTCTTGTTCTTGTCTGCCCCAATGCATCCCATTAAAGCCCTCTAAGCAAACCATTCAGAGGGTATTTCAGCATCAAAAGAAGATCTCAATGTAAAGGAAGAAATTTTATCCTAACAAACACAGGAGGTTCTGTAGAGAGCCAGGAGATTAGGGTCACCTGGAGTTCAACAGGAATGTGTTAATCATATGGTCAAATGATCTGATTTTATCTTTATGTTCTGTTGATAACAGCAGCACAATGGGAAGGCTTCAATTGCAGGGACTGTAAGCCCAGGCTCTCCTCTTGGAGACTGACAACCATTGTTCTCCCAGTCTTCTCCTGGGGCAAAAAAGCCAGGCAGAGAACAGCCACACTTTCCTAGACTAATGCAAAGTAATTCAAGAATGCTCCTCGGGGTAGGAATTATTCAGCTGTAAGAGCTGTTCACCCAGGCTACACTAATAAAAAGAAATTAGGGTCTTTTCAAGAATCTACTCCTCAAGGTTGTTTTGGTTTTTTGTTGTTTTGTTTTTTTTTTTTCTTTTCCCAGTATAGGTCACTAGAACATGCATCCATAAATGGAGATACTGTGAGCACTTACACCAACACAAAGTAGTGTTATGTATTATGAACACCCAGCAGTGCTGCTGGGCTGTAAGGACAACTACCCATCTTATTATTGGCCTCTGTCTTTAAAGATGTGTGGGTTTTGTTGTGGACAAACAACAGGCCTACAACAGTTCTGTAACACACTGCTGCCTACACTGCATCTCTCCAATTGCCTTTTGCCACGATAACTAAACATTTTCAACATGTCTGCATAGAGTAGAACGTGTAATCCTCCTGTTCAACTGGGCAGGAAACTAGCTATTTTGGGTATAAAAAACACATGTATGGCTGTCAAGATGCCTGAGACAGTCACCTGTTCTATCATGACAGAGCAGAAACCCCAAATTTTTTCACATATATATATTTTTTTTTAACATATCAGTCTGCATTCAGATGAAAGTCTTCTTCGTTTCAGACAAAATTTCAATTTTTACCATTCCTCATGGAAATATTAATTAATAAATCAAACAAATAATAATAATAGTAAAACCAAAACCCAAAAAGCCCTGTCCAGACACGTCTGATAAACAGGAAAATTCAGACTGTTTGCCACATCACAGCTGTTCCAGTGCAGAGCTCAGGCAAGGATGGAGGCAGCCAGAACGTGCCCTTGCTACAAAGATGGGTCTGGCAAGAGATTCATTCTTAGTGGTGGTGTTCTTTCACCAGCTGCTGGGAATGGGGTATTTGGTGCAGCCAGCAACATTCCTGCAGCTTCCTGAAGACTCAGTGCAACGAGCCTGAGAGCCACGGGGCCCAGAAACTGCTCCTACCAAGCATCTGCCCCTACATCCAGCACCCAGCCTCACTTGGGCAGGATGCACTGCCCAGTGCACAACCATTAATCAGTTTCTTGGCACGGCTTTCTCATTATGCTTGCAGGAAATCATTAAAATAAAAGCACATCCTATGGCTGGCAAACACCTAGCCTCAGGACCACTCTCCCAGCAACGATCAGGGGAATAACAAATATTGATTTTGCAATCTTTCATGACATTCCAGAGGTGGCCCCAGCACGGTGCAGTTTTGCCACAACCCTTCACACTGGGTCTGTCACCAGCCTTCCATCCACCTGTGACTTACGGGAGAAATGCGCAGGATTAAGGGGAATAAATACTAATACTGAACAAGATGGATAAATCATGTATTTTACCTCTATTCCTCTATTTCCCCTGACTGATCATCAATAAAACTCTCCATAGGAAATCACAGTGATTTGTCAGAAACTGATGCTGAGTTTATTGCTATAAAACAAGGCAAAGGGTAGAAATATTTCCTGTGGCAAGTTTGGATTACTTTTACACAATTACTGCATCGGACTAGTTCTAGGATTCAAACACTGAGAAAGCTGGGCTGGAGGTCACACGTATCTGCCAGTTTGGTGGAATGGGATATTCCTGGAGTTAGTTAATGACTACTGCCACGCTACAGGGTGTCAGCAGGAGTTCAATGAGCAGAGCTGTGCTGGCTGCACCCAGGTCACAGGCACACATGCACAGGGCACACACCACCAAGCAGGCATCTGAAAAATCCTCATACACTGATTTTCTAACAGATCCAGAGCTGCGATACCATCTCCCTCAGCACAAGGGGAAAGGGGAGTAACACACAGAGACAAGGGAATGTTCAGATTTATTTCAGCACAAGGACAGTGCATCTCAGCCCCAATCAAAGAACCACTCAGAGGTGCCAAACCCAGCCAGGAAACCAGTATTAATTTTCTGTGTTGATCCTGGAGAACTGGATTATTGTTGCTCTGTCTTACACAGAACACCTGCTTGACAAAAGGCCTCCATTGCCTTTCACACATTATATTCACCCTCAGGTATTTTTTATGTTTTAAAGGGAACTAATTAGTTAGTCTCCCTGTCAGCTATTGTATCAGATTCACAGGGTCCTTTCTGCCCTCACCTTATGCTGTAGGGGAAAAACAAAATACACATAAACACCACTTTTAATATTGTCGTATTAATGTCACATCTTCTCATAATCTTTTCCTTTTATTAGTCATTTGGGAATACCTTTTCTTCTCACCACAGTATGCACTGTGCACGTCACACAATGCCACAGACACCTGAAGGAGAACTTTGCTCTCTGCTTTGTCGAGCAAAAGCAGGAAATGGAATAAGATAAATTCTATTTAAATAAAATTAAATTTAAATAAAATAAATTCTATAAGTAGAATTTATAAATAAATAAAATCTATTTAACATGAACACTGTGGTAAGAATCTCCAAGACTATGCAGGTCTACCATAACAAAAATTCTTGGTGACACTGAGGGCCAAGTGACTCGAGAAAGAGGGAGAAGATTAAGGAGTCAATGGTAAAAGAACAATCTCTGAGAAAAAACTGAAAACTGTGATAGAAACTGCTACCAGTTTGGGACCTTTTGTAGCATCTTTGAAGATGTAAAGTACTCCTGTATACCATATGATTTCCTTGTAAAATAATGGTAATGCACATTGTTATTGTGCTGGGCTAAATGTGGCTTTGTGCAAACAGTTTTTGTAATTTACAAACTGGGGTGGTAGGAGCTCTTATATTTAATTTATCCTTTTTTATGATTTTTTTTCTAACAATCTGGAACACATGGGCAGAATTTGGCAACTACTTTATTGTTCTTCATAAACAAAAAACACTTTTAACTAAATATGGTCACATACTTGTAAGGTTTTTTCCTGCTTCTTAAAAACATTGATTTCATTAAAGGGCAACAAAAAAACTTCAAACAATTCCCAGTCCATCCTGATAAACCCACCCCGATCACCTAAAACTCTGCACTTCTCTAAAAGCTGACCTATAATAAACAAATAAGGCTATTTGTTTATAAAACTAACTCTAACTTGCAACTACCTTTTAACTATGCCAATAGCTAACAATTTCCCTTATAACTTCATACTCAAGCCAGACAATGTTTATTGCAATGCTATTTTTAAAGAAAACTTCTTTTTGTGCCATTGGGGAGGGAGAAGAACGACAGCAAAACTAAGATTTACAGTCCTTGTTGTCAGTTTCTTGCAGGTGTCTCATATGCAGTACCAAGACAACTAAATGAGATTTTAGTCTATCTTGCCCATCTTTCTGCAAGACACAT